AGCTTGAGTCTGTTTTTGGTTTCTGCTCTATCAGTCTATTAGGTAAATGACTGCCACTGCACCCTGTGGTATGTCACCCTGTCACCTCTCTAACTATGTGCGGAGAAGGAGTAAGCCCCACTCCTGAGCTCTGCTGTGTTCACACATTAGAGAGAAAGTATAGCATGGTAGTTAGAGTGCAGGGCCCTGGGTTCGAATTCCAGCTCCCCTATTTCCAACTCCTAGCTCCCGACCTTCAATACGGTATTTGAACTTTGCAGGTCCTCCATTTTCTCAGCTAAAACAAATGGATAGAATTATAGTAACCACCTCAGAATGTTGTGAAGATTAAATCAATTAATGACACGTGTACAGTGCTTAGAGCAGCGCCTCACACGCAGCAGGTGCTCCACAGAAGTTACTATAATTGCCTGTTATTGTGGTTCACCCACATCCTTATGCACTCAGCACCCCAGCCTGGCACCTATCCAGCAGGTCTTGCCCTTGCAGCAGGCACTCCTGACTCTACGCTTCAGGGCGTCTTGCAGTCCGTTTCCTCTGATACAACAACGTCCTCACCCTCCTGGAGCCGCCAACATCCCACTCTGCTGGAGGCTGACTGAGCCCACGGCCCGTCTCCTTGCCAAGCACCACAGCCTGGGGTGCTGTCTTCAGCATAAACCTCAAAGCCCATGTAGCAGCATCCTTTTATTGAATTTTGCCGGAGACCCAGGGAGGTGGCCAGGAGCATCAGGCCTTGCTCTGTTTAGTTTGGCCATTGTTTCGGTAGGGCTTGAAAGTAGTAGACTGTGGGGGTTTTGCCTGAAGTTATTAATGACTGTCAATTGCAACCAGAAACAGTCTACTAGTTTTACTAAGTTCTAGATAAAGGAAAGTTAGATTCTATATTACAGTTGCCTTGATAAAGTCCAATCAGTGTGAAAGGGTCACTTTAGTGAGCAATGTCCAGCTAGTAGACTTTGAAGCATGTTTCGTGGGGGTGAGTGACATGGAACACAGTCTTCTCACTGTCTTTCTGTTTCTTGGATGGCAGAAGGCTGTGGCCTTTGTGATGCCTCGGTGTATGAAGGATGCCACGGTGTATGAAGGATGCCACCTCCTTTTTTGGCTCTAGCTCAGCCTGAGCCTCACAGTCCCACCAGTGGTTTCTAAAGGCTAAACTGCAGAACTCGCATGCATTAGACCCTACAAATGACCCTTGGCAGAGTGTTTTCAAAGGATAATCTATACAGATGAATCAACTCAACAGATGTTTGTTAAGTGTCTTCTAGGTGCCAAAAGTTAGGGTCAGCATTTTGAGGGAGATAAAAATGGGCAGTTTTTCCCTAATTTATGAACAATTTGTATTCCAAATGTTTATTATGCCAACAGATTGTAATCTGGAATATATTTTCCATATGTAATCATTGCTATGCACACAATCATTAAAACCCCCAAATTGCCCTGTCCAGTTTGGCTCAGCGGTTGAGCGTCGGCCTGCTGACCAGAGAGTCCCGGGTTCGGTTCCCGCTAGGGGCATGTACCACAAAAAAACTACCTGAATAATTGTACCATAGGGCCACTAAAGCAAGGGGTAAATGTTTCTGTGGGAAATACATGGAAAATTCCCGGGTCAGAGGCCACATGCACACCCTTGACAGCTCACCTGCTGAGCAGCAGGGGAGGGGGGGGGGCGGCGGTGGAGTATCAGGAGATCCAGGTGTGTGGGGTCTGGGGAAAGTGGGAGTAGGCTGTGGCGCCCTGGCAGCATGGAGTTGAGGGAGGGAGGTCTGGAGGCAGATGCAGAGCCGCGACTGGGGTGCTGGAAGCTGGTGGTGATAAGAAAATGAGAAGAAGGCTTGTTAGAGGGGATGGCAACAGGCAAGAGGACACCTATCCTCTTCCATCCCGTCTCAGAGCCTGCTGCTGCGGAGGACTGGCCTGCGGTCAGGAACAAAGGGACAGGAAGAGCAGGACCGGAGGCCTCTTGAACCTAGTCTCCCTCCTCTTCTGAAGGCAAACCTGGGACTGAGGAACCAGAGGAGGGAACAGGGATTCCCTACCCCACCTTTGTCCCCACTTCCAAGCGTTTGCTAATACAACTGAACTGGGAAATCAGTAGCTTTAACGTGTGAAGAATGGAGTAACACGTCTGACCGAGAAAAGAAGGAGCCCTAGGGAGCAGAGGTACCTCTGTAAAGTCAAGCGAAGTTTTCTTTAAAATAGGAAACCATTGGGCAAATCTGCTTGCTGAGGAAAAGCAGTACAGAGGGAGGAGAAGTCGAGGGGGAGGAGAAGTGAGTGGGCCTCGAGGGCTGAGAAAGGGGAAGGATGGGCAGGTCTTCTAAGTGGAGGGAAGCGGTCAGCTGGTAGGAGGGCTGTGGGACAACCAGGATTCTGTGCTGCACAGACAGGCTTTTTCTGTGAGATATGAAGTGAGGTCACCTGGAGAGAGAGAGAGCAGAGGGATGAGGGTGGGGATGCTTTAGAAAAACAACACAGGTTTGATAGAGCCTAAAAAGGTATTCACACCTTTGAACCAATAATTTCACTCTCAAAAGCTATCCTAAGAAAATAATGCTGCCCATGATGTCTGAAAGTTTGTTGCCTACAGTTTCTTCTAGGATTTTTATGGATTCATGAGTCACATTTAAGTCTTTTATCCATTTTGAGTTTATTCTTGTGTAGGGTGTAAATTGATGGTCTAGTTTCATTGTTTTGCATGTAGCTGTCCAATTTTCCCAACACCATTTATTAAAGAGGCTGTCTTTACTCCACTGTATGCTCTTGCCACCTTTGTCAAACACTAATTGAGCATATTACCTTGGGTCCATTTCTGGGTTCTCTGTTCTGTTCCACTGGTTTATATGCCTGTCCTTGTGCCAATACCAGGCTGTTTTGATTATGGTGGCTTTGTAGTATAACCTGAAATCTGGTAATGTGATCCCTCCAACTTTGTTCTTCTTTTTCTGTGGCTATTTGGGGTCTTTTTTTGTTCCATATGAGATTTTGAAGTATTTGTTCTAGTTCTGTGAAGTATGTCATTGGTATTTTGATGGGGATTGCATTAAATCTATAGATTGCTTTGGGTAGTATGGACATTTTCATGATGTTAATTCTTCCAATCCAGGAACAGGGTATGTGCTTCCACTTTTTTATATCTTCCTCTATTTCTTTGTTCAATGACCTGTAGTTTTCTGCAAATAGGTCCTTTATTTCTTTGGTTACGTTTATTCCTAGGTATCTTATTTTTTTTGCTGCAATGGTAAATGGGATTGTTTACTTAGTTTCTCTTTCTGTGAGTTCATCATTGGCGTATAAAAATGCCATCGATTTCTTGACGTTAATTTTGTATCCTGCTACTTTGCCAAATTCATTTATTAAGTCTAGTAAATTTTCACTGATACATCACCTAAGGCAATAGAAACAAAGGAGAAAATGAACACATGGGACTACATCAAACTAAAAAGCTTCTGCACAGCAAAAGAAACAACCATCAAAATGAAAAAGGAACCCACTATATGGAAGAGCATAATTGCCAATGATACATCAAATAAGGGGCTAATTTCCAAAATATATAGAGTATTCATACAACTCAACAAAAGGAAGACAAAGAACCCAATTAAAAAATGGGCAGAGGACCTAAATAGACACCTCTCCAAACAGGACATACAAATGGCTAAGAGACATATGAAGAAATGCTCAACATCACTAATCATCAGAGAGATGCAAATTAAAACAACAATGAGGTATCACCTCACACCTGTCAGAATGGCTGCCATCAACAAATCATCAAACAACAAGTGTTGGCGAGGGTGTGGAGAAAAGGGGACTCTAGTACACTGTTGGTGGGAATGCAGACTGGTGCAGCCACTATGGAAAACAATATGGTGTTACCTCAAAAAATTAAAAATTGAACTTCCATTTGACCCAGTGATCCCACTTCTAGGAATATACCCTAAGAAGCCTGAACCACCAACCAGAAAGAATATATGTACCCCCATGTTCATAGCAGCACTATTTACAATAGCTAAGATCTGGAAACAGCCCAAGTGTCCATCAGTAGACGAATGGATAAAAAAGCTGTGGTACATATACACAATGGAGTACTATGCAGCTGTAAGAAAGAAGGATCTCTTATCCTTTGAGATGACATGGAGGGACCTGGAGAGTATTATCCTAAGCGAAAGAAGCCAAGCAGAGAAAGACAAGTATCATATGATCTCATTTATTTGTGGAATATAATGAACATAACAGTCTGAGGAATGGGGTAGTCCCAGAGACATGAAAGTGGGATACAGACTGACAATCCCCAGAAGAGGGTGTGGTGGGGGAGAGATAAACCACAGAACTTATATGCATGTATGCATGAACAATGGACATGGAGAACAAAGCTGGAGACAAGGTGGGGAGGGGAGGGGGCAATCATTGGGGGGAAAGGAGAAACATCTGTAACAAAAATAAATTAATTAATTAAAAAAATAAAAAAACTATTCTAAGAAAATAATTTGAAATGCAATTTTTAAAAAATTACTCACTATGTATCTCTTTGTAGAGTTATTTACAATCATTGGAAACAAATGAGAAAAAAAGTAATGTTTATCAACAACAGAACAGTTGAAAATTATGCTACAGAGTTACATTAATTTAAAATGATATGTTAGAAAGATTATATAATGACATGGTAAAATACTTGTGACATGCGGTAAGTGTTAAAGGCAGGATTTAAGATTTCATATGGGATACTACATGTGGAGTGGCTGGGAAGAAATACAGCGAACTATTAACAGAGGTTCTCTCTTGAGATATAGTATTATGGGTATTTATATTTTCTTTTTTAATCCTTTTTGACATTTTTAAAAATAATGGATAGGTTTACTTTAAAAATAAGAACAATGATGTTAAAGTCTTTAAAAAATTTTAACCAAGACATGTACTTAAAGCAAACAATTGCACGTTTCCCATTGTTAATATTTTAAGTTGTTGCATTTAATGTCAAAATTCGGCTTTGTCTTCCCCAGGTCATCCAGAAATTTATCCTTTAGTGTTAACTACCAAGACCCAAGAAATATTCAACTGCCGAATAGATGAAGACCTGACAGATGAACAACCTTATAAACTTATCAAAAAACAAGATATTTTGACAGACTTTTACAACAGAGCTGCAGTATCTGATTTCCACCCAGTCAAAAAAGTCATCCAGGTAAGTACAACATCCTCTTTATTTGTCAGTCTTGCTTCAGGGGATTCCCGATACCTAATAAGTAAGTTGGAGAGATTGCTGCATTGAGATCTGGCATTTGCAAATATTAGCTGGCCCCGCTTCCTGGAATCCTGCTTGATGATCCTCTGGGAAAAGCAAACACGAATCAGTGACTGTCTTATTCCACACCCAGAAAAGCTGATCCTTGCCCATTTTTTTTTTTTTTATAAACTTTTTATTTATTTTTTTGTTACAGATATTTTACCTTTTTTACCCCATTGGCACCCCCCACCCCACCCCACCTCCGCCCCGTCCCCGGCTTAGTTGTCCATGGCCATTGGTATCCATACATGCATATAAGTTCTGTGGTTTATCTCTTCCCACCCCCCCACCCCCCATCCCCTCTTCTGAGGGATGTCAGTCTGTGCCCTACTTCCATGTTTCTGGGTCTACCGTATTCCTCAGACTGTTATGTTCATTATATTCCGTATATAAGTGAGATCATGTGGTATTTGTCTTTTTCTGCTTGGCTTCTTTCACTTAGGATAATACTTTCCAGGTCCCTCCATGTCGTCTCAAAGGATAAGAGATCTTTCTTTCTTACCGCTGCATAATACTCCATTGTGTATATGTACCACAGCTTTTTTATCCATTCGTCTACTGATGGACACTTGGGCTGTTTCCAGATCTTAGCTATTGTAAATAGTGCTGCTACGAACATGGGGGTACATATATTCTTCCTGATTGGTGTTTCAGGCTTCTTAGGGTATATTCCTAGCAGTGGGATCACTGGGTCAAATGGAAGTTCAATTTTTAATTTTTGAGGTAACACCATATTGTTTTCCATAGTGGCTGCACCAGTCTGCATTCCCACCAACAGTGTACTAGAGACCCCTTTTCTCCACACCCTCGCCAACACTTGTTGTTTGATGATTTGTTGATGGCAGCCATTCTGACAGGTGTGAGGTGATACCTCATTGTTGTTTTAATTTGCATCTCTCTGATGATTAGTGATGTTGAGCATTTCTTCATATATCTTTTGGCCATTTGTATGTCCTGTTTGGAGAGGTGTCTATTCAGCTCCTCTGCCCATTTTTTAATTTGGTTCTTTGTCTTCCTTTTGTTGAGTTGCATGAGCACTCTATATATATTGGAAATTAACCCCTTATCTGATACATCATTGGCAATGATGTTCTCCCATACAGTGGGTTGCCTTTCCATTTTTATGATTGTTTCTTTTGCTGTGCAGAAGCTTTTTAGTTTGATGTAGTCCCATGTGTTCATTTTTTCCTTTGTTTCTGTTGCCTTAGGTGATGTATCAGTGAAAATTCTGCTCCGTATGATGTCTGAAATTTTGTTGCCTACATTTTCTTCTAGAATTTGTATGGATTCATGAGTCACATTTAAGTCTTTTATCCATTTTGAGTTTATTTTTGTGTATGGTGTAAGTTAATGGTCTAGTTTCATTTTTTTGCATGTAGCTGTCCAATTTTCCCAACACCATTTATTAAAGAAGCTGTCTTTACTCCACTGTATGCTCTTGCCACCTTTGTCAAATATTAATTGAGCGTATTGCCTTGGGTCCATTTCTGGGTTTTCAGTTCTGTTCCACCAGTCTATATGCCTGTTCTTGTGCCAGTACCAGGCTGTTTTGGTTACAGCCGCTTTGTAGTATAACCTGAAATCTGGTAATGTGATCCCTCCAACTTTGTTCTTCTTTTTCAAGATTGCTGTGGCTATTTGGGGTCTTTTTTGGTTCCATATGAGATTTTGAAGTATTTGTTCTAGTTCTATGAAATATGTCGTTGGTATTTTGATGGGGATTGCATTGAATCTATAGATTGCGTTGGGTAGTATGGACATTTTAATGATGTTAATTCTTCCAATCCAGGAACAGGGTATGTGCTTCCACTTTTTTATATCTTCCTCTATTTCTTTTTTCAATGACCTGTAGTTTTCTGCAAATAGGTCCTTTACTTCTTTGGTTAAGTTTATTCCTAGGTATCTTAATTTTTTTGGCACGATGGTAAATGGGATTGTTTACTTAGTTTCTCTTTCTGTGAGTTCATCATTGGCGTATAAAAATGCCATCGATTTCTTGACGTTAATTTTGTATCCTGCTACTTTGCCAAATTCATTTATTAAGTCTAGTAGATTTTTGATGGAGTCTTTAGGGTTTTCTATGTATAATATCGTGTCATCTGCAAATAATGACAGTTTCACTTCCTCCTTTCCAATTTGGATTCCTTTTATTTTTTCTTCCTGTCTGATTGCTGTGGCTAAGACTTCCAGTACAATGTTAAATAAGAGTGGCGAAAGTGGACATCCCTGTCTTGTTCCTGTTCTTAATGGAAATGTTTTTAGTTTCTGTCCATTGAGTATTGTGTTGGCTGTAGGTCTTTCATATATGGCCTTTATTATGTCTAGATATGATCCCTCTATTTCTACATTGCTGAGCGTTTTTATCCGAAATGGATGCTGGATTTTGTCGAATGCTTTTTCAGCATCTGTTGATATGATCATGTGGTTTTTATTCTTCATTTTGTTTATGTGGTGTATCACGTTTATTGATTTGCGAATATTGTACCAGCCTTGCATCCCTGGAATGAATCCCACTTGGTCATGGTGAATAATTTTTTTGATGTATTTCTGGATCTGATTTGCTAATATTTTGTTCAGGATTTTGGCGTCTATGTTCATCAGGGATATTGGCCTGTAGTTTTCTTTCTTCGTAGTGTCTTTCTCTGGTTTTGGAATTAGAATTATGCTGGCCTCATAGAACATGTTTGGAAGTCTTCCTTCTTCTTGAATTTTTTGAAATAGTTTGAGGAGAATGGGTGTTATTTCTTTTTTGAATGTTCGGTAAAACTGCCCCGTGAAGCCATCTGGGCCTGGGCTTTTATTTGCTGGGAGAGTCTTGATTACCTCTTCAATTTCCTTAGATGTTATTGGTCTGTTCAAGTTTTCTATGTCTTCCGGGAATAGTTTTGGGAGACTGTGTGTTTCCAGAAATTTGTCCATTTCACTTAGATTGTCGAATTTGTTGCCATATAGTTGTTCATAGTAGTTGTTAATGATCTTTTGTATTTCTGTGGTGTTGGTTGTTACTTCTCCTCTTTCATTTGTGATTTTGTGTATTTGGGTTCTCTCTCTTTGTTTCTTGGTGAGGCTAGCTAAAGGTCCATCAATCTTGTTTATCTTTTCAAAAAACCAGCTCTTTGTTTCATTGATCCTTTGAATTGTTTTTTTGGTCTCTATGTCCTTTATTTCTGCTCTGATCTTTACTATTTCCTTCCTTCTACTTGCTCTGGAGTTTTCTTTTTGTTTGCTTTCTAATTCTTTAAGTTGTGAGGTTAGACAGTCAATTAGAAATTTTTCTTGTTTTTTGAGGTAGGCCTGTAGTGCTATGAACTTCCCTCTCAGAACTGCTTTCGCTGCATCCCATAGATTTTGTGTTGTTGTGTGTTCATTTTCATTGGTTTCCAAGAAGTTTTTAATTTCTTCCTTGATCTCCTCGGTGACCCATTCATTGTTTAATATGCTATTTAGCCTCCATGTGTTCAAATGTCTTTGCATGTTCTTGTTGCAATTGATTTCTAGTTTCATGCCATTGTGATCTGAGAAGATGCTTGATATGATTTCAATCTTCTTGAACTTGTAGAGATTTAGTTTGTGTCCTATCATGTGGTCTATCTTTGAAAATGTCCCATGTGCACTTGAGAAGAATGTGTATTCTGTAGTTTTGGGGTATAATTCTCTGTAGATATCTATTAAATCCATTTGGTCTAGTGCTTCATTTAGAGTCTCTGTTTCCTTGCTAATTTTTTGTCTAGAGGATCTATCCAGTGCTGTCAACGGGGTGTTGAAGTCCCCTGCTATGATTGTAGTCGATTTCTCCTTGGAAGTCCTCGAGAAGATTTTTAATATATTTTGGTGCTCCTATATTGGGTGCATATATGTTTATCAAGGTTATATCTTCCTGTTGGATAGATCCTTTCAATATTATATAGTGGCCTTCTTTGTCTCTAGTTATGGTCTTCATTTTGAAATCTACAGTGATACCTCGGTTCTCGAACATAATTCGTTCCAGGAGGACGGTCGAGAACCGAATTGTTCGAGAACCGAAGCAATGAAACCCAATAGAAAGCGTGACTCCACAAAGCGTGACTCTCTCTCTGCACTCACACTGATGACGCAAGCAAGGCGCGCTGGGCCGAATGAACGCCATTCGGCTCAACTCGGCTCATCTCGGAAGTTCGAGTTCCAAATATTTGTTCGGATTCCGAGACAAAAGTTTCTCGAATCTCCTGGTCGAATACCGATTTGGTCGAAAACCGAGGCGTTCGAGAACCGAGGTATCACTGTATTTTATCAGATATGAGAATTGCTACCCCAGCTTTTTTTTTTTATTTCCATTTGCTTGGAAATTTTTTTTTTTATCCCTTCACTTTCAACCTATGTGAGTCTTTTGTTGTGAGGTGGGTCTCTTGTAAACAACATATAGATGAGTCATGCTTTCTTATCCAATCAGCTACTCTGTGTCTTTTTATCAGAGCATTCAATCCATTTATGTTTCAGGTGATTATTGATATGTACTTATTTATTGCCATTTTTGTTTAGTGTGGTTCTATTTTTCTTCCCATTTCTACTGCTAATTACAGCAGTCCTTTTAACATTTCTTGCAGTGCTGGTTTGGTGCTAATGTATTCCCTTAGCCTTTTTTTGTCTGGGTAGCTCTTTATTTGATCTTCTATTTTGAATAATAATAGCCTTGCTGGGTAGAGTAGTCTTGGATTCAGATTCTTGTTTTTCATGACTTTGATTACTTCATGCCATTCTCTTCTGGCCTGTAGTGTTTCTTGTGAGAAGTCAGCTGAGAGCCTTATGGGGTTCCCTTTGTAGGTAACCTGTTGCTTGTCTCTTGCTGCTTTTAGGATTCTCTCTTTGTCTTTAATTTGTGGCATTTTAATTACTATGTGTCTTGGTGTGGGCCTGTTTGGGTTCTTCTTACTTGGGACTCTCTGTGCTTCTTGAACTTGAATGCCATCTTCCTTCACCAAATTAGGGAAGTTTTCTGTCACTATTTTTTTTAATATATTCTCTATCCCTTGCTCATTTTCTTCTTCTTCGGGGACTCCCATGATGCGAATATTATTACGTTTCCAGTTGTCCCATAGTTCTCTTAAGCTGTCTTCCTGTTTTTTAAATAATTTTTTCCTTTTGTTTTTCTGATTGGTTGATTTTTTTCTACCCTGTCTTCTAATTCACTGATCCGGTCCTCAGCTTCCTCTACTCTGCTTTTTAAACCTTCCAATGTGTTTTTCATTTCTGATATGTCATTTTTTATCTCTTCTTGATGGTTTTTAATTTCCAATTGGCTTATTTTCAGTGTCTCTATGTCCTTACTCATGCTGTTCAGCTTCCTCAAGATCATGGCTCTGAATTCTAGCTCTGTTAACATGCCTAATTGCTCCACATTGATCCCATCTTCGGTGGAGGTGTCTTGCTCTTTCATTTGGCTTCTGTTTCTGTGTTTCACCATTTTGGCTATCACAGTGGGCTTTGGAGCCTGTCAAGTTTTCCCTCTGAGTGTTGGTGTTCTGCTGTTTGTGGCTCCCTCTCCTGTGTTTAGATGAGCGAGGGAGGACTCACGTTAAACACCACTGTCAAGTCTTACTTCCCTGGTTAAAGTTGCCAGCCCAGGAAAGGTACTGTTATCCTCTAGCTTTTTGCCTGGAGGCTAGCAGTCGAGGTTACTTGAGGAGTTTTGGGTTGTCAGTTGATTGAAAAGCTCCCTCAGGTGCTTAGCACTAGGGGATTTCCCAAGGGTGGGGCAGATGCTGGTTGTTTGTGAGCCTCAATTAGCACTTCAATGGTCCACAGGGTGGGGTTGGATCTCCGAGGGAGGGGCTGCTGCCTCTCTCAGAGCCCTGGGAAGGAGTAATGTGGCCACAGTCCTGAGTGGCTGCACTCAGCCAAAGCTCTGAGCGCCCTCCAGATCCCGAGTGTCCCCACACAGTTCCAGTCCAGTCTGCCCTCCCTCTGCGGGAGCCCAAGGGGAGTGGCTGTGGCTGTTTTAGCCTCTGTCCTGGCTCTGTGCTGTGGAGCCGCCTGGGAGTGTGACCCGAGGGCGCCGCTCCCAGCTAAGGCCACTGCCGACCGAGGGCTCCCAGCCCCGTCTCGCGCCATCGCAAGCCTACCAGGATCAAGTCAGTGTCCCTCGTTGTATGGTCCTCGCAAGCTGCTTTTCTGTTGCTTTTCCCGTCAATTTGTCTGTGTTATAGTTGTAATTCCAGTTTGGTTCTGGGAGACGGTCTGTGTAGCTTCCGTTCACTCTGCCGCCATTTTTCCTTCCCCTCCTTGCCCAATTTTAACTTGAATAGGAATCTACCAGTATTTTCCCATACTGTTTTAATTGTCTGATTCATCATTTTGGTCCTGATTTTTTTCTAACAGAGAACCACCAAAAAGCATGCAACAGAGCACAACACCAAATAAGAGGAATACTTCCTTTTTTTTTTCCTGTTAGAAATAAAATTTTATTGTAATTTTTCTTGGACCTATGGTGTTCTAAAAGCTTTTTAGAGTTAATAAAATAATGTTGCAATTTGGGTTTATTAGCCATAGATTAACACTATGGTTATCTTTTATGTCTGACCGATTGATCAGAGAAATATTAATTTTGTGTCGATGTCTGAATAAATTGAATGACCACTGGACATCCTTCACCTTCATCAGCTCTCTCCCTTTTACTATTCAGTAGCATGTTATTTAGTCTTCACACATTTGTGAATTTTCCAGTTTTCTTTGTGTAATTAATTTTTAGTTTCATACCATTGTGGTCAGAAAATATGCTTGATGTGATTTCAATCCTCTTAAATTTATTGACTTGTTTTGTGGCCCCACGTATGATCTGTCATTTAAAATGTTCCATGTGTACTTGAAAAGAATGGACAGGGGTGGCAAAAATAGGTTTACAGTTGTGAGTACTCGAAACACAGTTTATTCTTGTGTTATTATTGTTTAATTATTGTATTATTTTCTGTACAAACAACAGTGAGCCTACTTTTGCCCCACCCTGTATATTCTGTTGCTTTGGGATGCAATGTTCTGTCACCTTCTCTTTTGATTATATTCCTATAGAACTATCCTGGAGATGAAATTCTGATTGTTTATGACAAAGACTTCAAATATGGACTCAACTTTTATGTTATTGGAACGGAAGAGGGCAAGGAGAACTATTTAAATGTAAGCACACTCGAGCCCTGGCATGTTGTGGCTTGCCAGGAGGAAGCGGTACCTGTGGGGCAGACCTGTGCATGGTTGAGGTTCCCCTTGTTGGGCCCTGTCGCCCTGGGCCCTAGAGCGGGCTCTGGCACCCAGTGTAGGTGAGCAGTGAATGTGGGGTGAACTAAGTCAAACGTCTCAGGGGAGCAGATACGCGACTTATTTGCCTTTGTTAACCCAGTGAGAGCGGAAACAGCAAACCCGGGGCACCGCTGCTCTGTGCCCCTCCTGGGCTGTGTTCCTGGCTCTCCTCCTACCATCTCCATAGCTGGGGTGATTACTGAACCACACTCGTCTGCAAAACAGTGGTACCAACCACGTCCGTTTCCAGGGCTGCTGTGAAAATTAAATTGGCTAACACTGTACATGACTGTATAGTGAAGTATTTTCAAATGTATAGAAAAGTACAGATAATAGTATTACAAATATCCACAAAATCATTACCCAGAATTAACAAATATTAATATTATATTTACTTCATTTTTTTAAAGAAGTAAAATATAATAGATAACGATTTACTCCCTCTTGTATCCTCTGCAGTTCCGTTTCTCTCTATAAGGAACCATTATTCAAAAGTTGTTATATATCCTTCCTGTCCATGGTTTTATATTTTTACCTCATATGTATGCTCCACAAATAATGTGTTTTATTTAAAAGTCACATAAAAGTATACAAATCATTCTGCAAGTTTTGTTTTTCGCTAAGTTATAAAATTCTAGGTATCATCTGTGTTGATACATGAAGATATCACATACGTGTAGGTCAAGTTGGTTCACTGGAACTGCTTTATGGGATTTTACTTTATGATGATAACACAATATGTCAGTTCACTCACCTATTGATACTTATTCAGTTTATAGATAAATGGATTGGCAGATACCTATAAAAATATAGATATAGGCCTTAATGTATTAATATCTGTCTCTGTATATATCTTCTTGTGGACATCTTGATTTTTTTTTTTTTTTATCCTCACCCGAGGACACTTTTTCATTCTTTGTTCAGATAGAGCAGGAGGGAGAGAGAGAGAGAGAGAAACATCGACGTGAAGGGACACATCGAGTGGCTGCCACCCGCACGACCAACCAGGGCCAGGGACAAACTGCAACCGAGGTACATGCCCTTAGCGGGAACCGAACCCGGGTCTCTCCGGACCGCAGGCCGACGCTTTAACCGCTGAGCCAAACCGGCCAGGGCGGACATCTTGATTTTAAAACATTTGTTATTTAATATATATCATGTTTATTCATAGTTATAATCCTCTTATCAAATAAATTTTATTGTCGGAGAAAACTGTATTTATATTTTATGTTTATATATTTATATTTAAATTTTATATTTAATATGAGGTTTTCATGTTCCATATTCAAAAATATGTGCAGTAAACACTTTTTTCTTATCAAATGGCTTTTCCTTTTTTTCCTCCCCCATTTTTTCCTTCTGTCATCTTCTGTCTGTTCCCTTGACTTTTTGTTGTCGTTGTTGTTCTTTATTCTTCCCTTTTTGGCTTGGTTTTCTTCTCATAATTGAAAAGAAGAAACCAACAAAGCAGAAAAATAATAAGGAAGTGATTAATCAATTCATATAAAAGTAAAGTTTATTGCAAAATATACCGATGTAGCTATAACCTGCATTTGATCATGTATTTTAGAATGTTACTTGTTTTACTCTAGCCCCCAGAAACTCCAGAAGAACAGGAGGAACATAAAGAATTTAAAGAGCATGCTTCTGAAGACACGTATCTTTATAAGCCACCTGTCTCTAAGCCGTGGGTTTCTTTGGGCAGTGAAATAGAAATTGAGGAGGAATCAGTAAAGGGATCTACAAAGCAGGTCAGAGGCCTGAATTATTATCTCTAGTCCTTACCTCCCTATAGTTGAATAACACGTATTCCTGAAGGATCTGTAAGGCTTCTGTGTTTGCTATGGGCATGTGGTTTTTCTTTGGATAGAAGAATGGTTATTGTTTTAGGATTGAATTGTGTTCCCCCAAAGGATGTGAAGTCCTAACCCCCAGTACCCAGAATGTGACCTATTAGGAAGTGGGAGGGTGCTATTTCAGTTTGGCTGGGGTCCTTATAAAGAGAGGGCCACATGGAGACACAGAGACACAAGGAAAAAGAACACCATGTGAAGAAGGAGGCAGAGATGGGAGCGTTGTATCTACAATTCAAGGAACATCAAGGGTTGCTGGCATCACCAGAAGCTAGAGAGAGGCAAGCAACAGATTCTCCCTCAGAGACCACAAAAAATCCACTTCCATCATCTTGATCTCGGACTTCTAGCCTCCACTACTGGGGGAGAATAAATTCCTGTTGTTCTAAGCCACCCAGTCTGTGGTGCTTGGTTATAGCAGCCGTAGGAGGCTGACACAATGGCACTGCCAGAGCAGCCACTGGGGGGAGGATTTGAATGTGAGGGATGTATTTGGAAAGTGCCCCATAAAGTAGAGAAAGCAGCAGGAGAGGGACACGGCAGACACCCTGCAAGGGTGCAATCTAGGGCAAAATTTTGGTAGGGGGAAGTCTTTGGCCTAAACCCTAGAGGAATTCTGGAGGGGAAATTACTCCTCAGAGTTGTCCCAAAGAGAAGCAAAAGAGATGAGCTTCCATATGTGTCCAACGGGTTGAGATGTAAGCAGCCAGTTACTTCCTGTTCTTTGTGCCTGTGGGCAAAGTGGTCCAATAGCCCTGGAGCAGTGCTTCCCAGAAGACCAGCAGGCAGTGGCCACGGGGACAAAAAGCACTGGAGGGACACAGAAAGGATACAAAGAGATCTGAGGGGATCTAGACAGAGCACCCATGTCATCTGCCACACACCCATTTTTCTCTAGGGACTTGATTATGTTACCTTCACTGCTTACCCGTGTTGCAGATTACGTATATGATTTCTCGAAAACGAAGAGAATTTGGTGCACCAATTAAGTTCAGTGACCAGAATGCTTCCAGTGTAAAAGATGCCTGTATTGAATGTATAGCCTACCCAGACAGAAACTTTGTTATCAAGCAGTTGGAGAGAGATGTTGGCATGCAAGTAGTCCCCCAAGTCAAGGACACAAGTACTCAGACAAAATGGTAAGCATGCAATGAGTTTATGCATTTTCAAAGGTAGTTACAGGAAAATCTAGCAATGGCCAAGCTTATTTTGAGAGATCTTTATCATAAGTAGAAATGGATTGGCAGTGATGACATATATCTCCACAGAGTAATTCAACTCAGGAAGTTCTAATTGCTTTCAACTATGCCTTTTAAAATCTTAATGGGAAGATGAGATTCAAGTACATAAGAATGTAAAGACTATGTAGTGGGAAAGTGATGGATGCTGTTAATAATTACAGGGATGTTGTTAGTAATTACAGTATTGCTTTCACCTGGAAGATTACCATTGCCTCCTAACTGCTCTGTTCTACCTAGGTCATCATTCTTACACATCAGACCAGATTGTGTGACTTCACTGCCTAAGTCTCTTCTTTGGTCCCCTATCATATCCAGAGCCCATGGGATGGCATTATAAGGTCTCCTGCCTCCATGTCAAGGCATTGTTGGCCTCTCCAGCCTCGTCCCCCTCCCCACCCCAGTGCCAAACAAGTCCTCTGTGCTCCAGCCCTAGGAGCTGCTTTCATCTCCCAGAATACCTGCTCTTCCACATCTCCCTGCCTTTGCCAATGCTGTTCCTCTGTATAAAATGCCCTTCACTGCCTTTTCCACCTTGTGCCTCTTCACCCTTTAAGTTCAGCACCCCCTCCTCTGTGACTTCCTGGAAACACCAGGTAGAGTTGATCCCTCCCTCCTATGAGACCCCACTAGAGCCTAAAGGTGTCTTTCCCATGGCACCGAGGACCCACATTGTACTCATCTGCTTGCCAGTCTGTCTGCCTTCGATCCAGTGCACTGGGAGGCTACAAGCCATATCACTTCACACGTCAGGTTCTTATTAAAGTGTGTTCAGTGAGTGAATTGAAATGGACTGCCAAGGGAATATTTGGGGGACTTGAGCTAGGCTTTGAATGTTGTATAAACTTGGAGACATATTTAGCTAAGCATTTTTTTTAGAATTAAAAAAAATTATTTTGAAATAATTTTAGATGTATAGAAGATAAGCCACAAATGTTACATATAATTTGGAGAAGTGGAGAAAGGAAACACAGCTCACATTTTTTTTAAATGACCTGAATGATTCAATGGAATGGGAAGAACAGTGTTGGCATGGGACCATGAGGAGACCAGCCTGGGTACCAGGAAGGGGGTCGCAGAGGTCGACAGGGTAGTGGTTTCTCTGTGCAGACAGTAGGGAACTTTGACAATTTCTGAAGCAAAAGAGAGAGGCAGGATGGTAAGGTATTAAAATAAGATGAGCTGGGCAGTATGTACTGGAAAGCAGAGGGGAAAAAGCCTGGAGTTGAAGAGATTGGCCAAGTAGGAGTCTGCTGTCACTAATCCAGGTAAAAATGTGACCAGTGTCTAAAGGAAGGCAGTAAACTAAGAGGAAAGGACACATGTAAGTACAAAATACTATAACTCCCATCATTCAGACAAACAACACCCAGCCTTCTTGACCTCTCCAGCTATTATCTAGTCTCTCCGCTTTTCTTTACAACAGAATTCCTCAGAGCAGTTGTCGACACCCGACTTCCACTTCCTCTTCTACCATTCTATCTGGAGCCCGTTCCAAACAATCTCCAGGTTACCAAAGACTTCCGGTGGTTTGATGGCCAATCCAACTTCAATATCTCTTCTTTCTCCACGCCTCGGCGGTATTTAACATGACTGACTATTTCTCCTCCTTACGACACGTTTCCACTTGGTTTATGAACCATACTTGCTGCACCCCTCCTAACTCACTGCAGCTTCTTCTCAGTCTCTTTCACAGGATCCTCCTTTTCCCAACTTCTAAATATTAGAGGACCCCAAGGCTAACTCCTTCGGATGTTTTCTCTAACTACGCCTAGTCCCTGGGTGAATTTATCCAGTCCTTTGGTGTCATCCATTACCTGTTTGCTGATGACTCTCAAATCTATGCCTTCAACCTTAATCTCTCCCCTGAACTCCACATGCTTCTATCCATCTGCTTACTTGGAGGTCTTGTAAAGGTCTCAAATTTAACATGCCCTCAAACAATTTTTTAAGTTTCTACCTCCAAACCTGAAACTCCATGAATCTTCCTCATCTCAGTAAATGGCAATGATATTCTTGTAATTACCCAGACACAAAACCTTGGATTTTGTTGGGTCTACTCTCAAAATATATTCATTGCTATCATCTGGGATCAAGCTATCCTCATCCCTTTCCTGGATTATTATAAGACTTCCTGACTGGGCTTCCTCTACCTCTTGTTGCCCTCCTACATTCTGTTCTCCAAAAAAGAGTCAGACTAATTTGGATCCCATTTGCCCCTCTGCCTTTATTTCCCATGATTCTCCTTGCTCATCCATTCCAGCCAGACTGGTCTCCTTGTTCCTTGAATTCACCGAGCATACTCATACCTGATGTGTTTATGCTCACAGTTCCTCTACATAGGCTGCTCTTCCCCCATCCTTAGGGTTCACTTCCTCCTTCATTCAGATCCCTGCTTCCTTGAGGCATTCCCCAGTACTCCTTTAGAAAAGCAACAACCCCCATTTCTATCTATCCCCTGACTCTATTTTTTTCTTCATGGCACTATTATCATCACTTGATGTGTATTTGTCATTGTCTCTCTTTTCTCACCTTCTTCCCACCTACCACTTAGAATTTAAGCTCATGAGAGAGAAACTTGGTCTATTTTGTTTACTTCTATGCCCCCAACATCTAGGACAGTTCCTGGCACAGATTTATTAAATGAGGGAATAAGGGAATGAGGAAGGAAAGGAGAAGGAGAGGAACCTAGTTCAGGAAGAATGTTGGGATGGATGACTGACTCGAGTTCAATGTTAAGAGAAGAGCCATGAAATATACGGTGAGAGGGACTGTGACCCGGAGGCTCGGGGTCAGCAGAGTGGAGTGTAGTACAAAGCATGCTTTCCAGATCTATGTGAAGCAACGAGTCAGAAACCATGGAAGTGCAATGTTAAAGTCAAGGCCCACATACTTAGAATCCCCGGGTCAGGATAAGTAATGGGTCAGAAACCAGGGAGGCACATGAACATACAGGCCAGAACCAAATAGTTGAAGAGAAAGATAAGGATTGGTAGTGGAGTCTCAGCAGAGGATTAGAACATCAGAGACTCATAAACACCAAGAAGTGAGGGTGAGACTAGAAGGAACGAGATGATAGATTAGTTCCCCAAAAAACTTAGATTTTGAGAGAAATTTTTTAGTTAAGCCAACCAGAGACTTCTGTGTTCCTGCCAGGGTACAGAAAAGTGACAAGAATGAGTCCGCCAGGGTAGACTCAGGAGGTGGACTCAGAAAGGGACAGTGAACTTCTGACAGCAGGGACCTTAACAGGCTCTCCGTGGATGCTGACTGGCAATCATGGACAGTCACTTCTGTATAGCACCTGGAGTGAATCGATGAGAAATAAGGGCAGGCCTTGACCCACAAAGTGAAAAAAATAAATAAATCATAAGAACTCAAGCGGTTCAGACCTAGGTGACGAAGAATGCTGGTACCACTCACTGAGATCAGGAAATTAGCAGGTCTGAGAAGATGGGATACATGATTGTGACGAAAGAAGTAAAAAGGGGGAAAAGGTCAAAGATGAGATTCAAAGAGTAATGGCAACGAAAGCAGACGTTTGCAGGGCTCTCCCCACACGCCAGTGTTCTTCTAGGCTCTTGGCACATCGACTCAGTAAATCCTCACGACCGCGCTGAGGTTGGTACCATTTTCACTTTACAAATAAGGAAACCGAGGCAGAGAGGTTAAAAATGAAAGCTCAATATTTGGAACATAATCTAAATTTGAATCAATAGTGAATAGCTTTGCTGGAAAACAATAAAACAGATCATTAAAACAAAAATAAGCCCTGGCTGGTTTGGCTCAGCGGTAGAACGTCGGCCTGCGGTCCTGAGAGACCCGGGTTCGGTTCCCTCTAAGGGCACGTACCTCAGTTGCAGTTTGTCCCTAGCCCTGGTTGGGTTGTGTGGGTGGCAAGCACTCGATGTGTCCCTTTCACGTCGATGTTTCTTTTTCTCTCTCTCCCTCCCCACTCTATCTGAACAAAAAATGGAAAAATGTCCTCGGGTGAGGATCAAAAAACAAACAAACAAACAAACAAAAAAATAAGAGTGACTGTTAGTCATGTTGCTACTTTGATGAAATCACCAGGTGCCATATAACTTCTTAATCCTACCTGTGGGATAGAAATTAAAAGCGAAGCTGAGATTTGAACCCAAGTCTCTTTGATGCTAATACGAACATTTCTTTCCATCACTCTGCTTCTGCTCCGGGTGTTGATATTGGGGTGGGGGCGGCTAGGGTGGGAGAATGAACTATTCTACTCAGTGTAAGCAAAGCTCCCTACCCCTCTGTTTGATTGCTCTCACAGAAATGTTTTACTGACATTTGTTCAACAAAGATTAAATACAACCTAATAGTTTATTGAGCACTTAAAATGTGCTAGCATTGGTTTAAAAGCTTTACATGTATTAGCACATGCAATTCTTACAATAACCCTGTGAGCTAGAGACTTTAAGAATTTTATTTAGAGATGAGAAAACAGGCACAGAGAAATTAAATAATTAGCTCGGGGTCACATAGCTGGTAAGGGATAGAATCGGGCTTCAAAGCCAGGCAGCCATCACAGAGTGCACACTCTTAAGGGCTGTGTCATGTGACCTTTCTATAGCCCACACCCAGATCGAGGAGCTCACCCAGCCTGGTGGGTGAGGCTGACAAAGGCCAGAAGTGCAATGCAAGGTGAGCACTGAGAACAGTCAGTCTGGTTGGAATGAGCTTTTCTCCAGAGACTGTGCTGCCATCCTGCCTGAATGAGAATTGTTCCTAGTTTTGCATACTCAGAGCAGAGTTTCTCAACCTGAACACTACTAACATTTGGGGCTGGATAATTACTGGGGTGCAGGTGGGGGCTGTCCTGTGCACTGAAGGCTGTTTCACAGCATCCCTGGGCACTTCCCAGGGATGTCAGGAGCACTTCCCAGGTGCGTCCACCAAAAAGGCTTTCAGACTTTGCCCAAGGTTCCCAGGCTGTAGGGGTGGAGCAGGATTGCACTGCTTAAGAAACACTGATTTGATGAAATGAAGAGAGAGCAAATGATGAGTAAATGTGGCAACATGTTAATAATTGGTGAATTGGGATGGAATGTGTATGGGATTTTTTTATATTCTTCTTACAACTTTCCTGTAAGTTCAAAATGATATCTAAATTAAAAAATTTTAAATAAGAGCTTATTGATTATGTTTGAGAGAAATACACAATACTTTGAATGGCGATCAATATCAATTTTCTAAGATAAAAAAATTCAATTTATAAAATCTAAATATAAAATAACATCCTAATACTGTCACAGAGATAAACCTTTGATCTGTCATGACTATATTTGCTTTTCTTTGATCTAATTTGTGTTATTCAATTTTCTTTTACTATATTAGGACATATCCCAAAAATGCGACTACACAATATTATCCGAGAGAATTTTTAGAAGAGGAAAAAGAAATACTTGGACAATCAAAGCCTTTAGCTGATTTTCTTAACAACATGTCCATAAGGTAAAAATTTTATATTAAAATATAAGAATAGAATATAAGCCCTGCCTGGTGTGGCTCAGTGGTTGGTGTGTCAGCCCGAGCACAGAAGGGTCTCCGGTTCTATTCCCTGTCAAGGGCACATACCTGGGTTGCAGGTTCAATCCCTGGCCCCCCCTCTGGGTGCCTGCAGGAGGCAATCAATGGATGTGTCTCTTTCACATCAATGTCTCTCTCTTTCTCTTTCTCTCCCCTCCTCCTTCCTCCCTGCCTTCCACTTTCTCTAAAAATCAATAGAAACAATATCCACTGGTGAGGATTAACAAAAAAATAGTTTTTAAAGAATAAAACATAAAATCTGCATGTTTAGTTATAATAATAAGTCTTAAAAAAAAAAAAAAAAAAAAACCTCCATAAATGGTATCTGGATGGAAAGTGTAAAGACAATTATCAGGTTTGCATGAACATATGACACCTCCTACAGGTTCTCAGTCTCCCCTTCTCCTCTTGCAAGCAACATTCTAGACCTTGCAAGCTAGGACCTGGAAGATGAATACAGTTGAGTATGTGAGGATGCTTTCCTAACAGCAAATTGGCGTTTATTTGCCATGGTTTCTTTAAGTCCTTTTCTCCACTCCTCACTCCCCTTCTTAGCTTCATTAACTTTTTTTTTTTTTTTTTTTTTTTTTTTAATCCTCACCCGAGGACATTTTTTGTTCAGATAGAGCGGGAGGGAGAGAGAGGAAGAGAGAGAGAGAGAAACATCGATGTGAAGGGACACATCGAGTGGCTGCCACCCGCACGACCAACCAGGGCCGGGGACAAACTGCAACCGAGGTACATGCCCTTAGCGGGAACCGAACCCGGGTCTCTCTGTACCGCAGGCCGACGCTCCAACCGCTGAGCCAAACTGGCCAGGGCAGCTTCATTAACTTTTGTAGGAGAGCAAAGATGAGGATGCTGCGGATGTGGAGGACATCATTACAGTGATGGTGACAGGAACTTACAAAAATATCTTTGTAAATAAGAACCTGAACTCAGTCCAGAGGTACTTCTTGGCTATGTCATCCTTATCCCTAATTCCTGTGTTGCTGCCACTCTTACTGGCTCTGAAAGAGAGGTGTCTTCAAAATGCTTCTACAATGGTACTAGGACCCTGGCCAGAGCCTTGGGGCTTCTAAACCAGAGCAAGAGCCCTGGCCGGTTTGGCTCAGCGGTTAGAGCATTGGCCTGCGGTCCAGAGAGACTCAGGTTCGGTTCCCGCGGAGGGCATGCACCTCGGTTGCAGTTTGTCCCTGGCCCTGGTTGGGTCGTGCGGGTGGCAACCACTCGATGTGTCCCTTTCACGTCAATGTTTCTCTCTCTCTCTCTCCCTCCCACTCTATCCGAACAAAATATCAAAAAATGTTCTCAGGTGAGGATAAAAATGAATGAATGAATGAATGAATGAACCAACCAACCAACCAACCAACCAACCGGAGAAAGAACTTGACAAGTTCTCATCAAGTTGATACCAGATTTCAGAGAAGTGGAATCAATGATAGAAAGGTCTGCCAGTTGTTTCCAATAGGTTGGTTTCCATTTCTTTCCAAAATTAAAAATTTTGTGGTCTAGTTCACAGATAGCTCAAGTTAAGCTTTTTCATTTTTAAGAAAACATCATTAGTTCTTTCAAACTGGATTAAATGTCCTGAAAACTACCTATGCCTAGGGAGAATTTGGCTCAAAAATTCATCAATGATTCAGAGAGTGCATTAATTATTTGCCACTCACAGGACGAATGCTATAGTTTTTTCCTATGTGGGAAAAAAAAAAAAGAAACAAGAAAACGTAAGGTTTCTTTTTCCACTTATTGGAATTAAGTATTTAAATCTTTACTGATACCAACATTAAAAATGAGACGTCTGTCTCTGTACAATCCATTTCAAGGAACTAAGTGGCCTTTGGCCTATTCTCATTTATCCACATTGTATATTATCTTTAGTCCTGGAGTTTTGTTCTTCCTTTTCAACTGCCATGCTTATGGAGAGACGAGTATAACTCCTTCCCTGAGATGTGGGAAGGAGATGCCAGAACTATACGAAGAAAGAGGAAATTGGCACAGGAATTAAAATAGCACTGGCTCCCTGGCTGGTGTGTCTCAGTGAATTGAACGTCCTTCCATGGACTGAGAGGTCCCGATTCAATTCCAGTCAGGGCACATGCCCGGGGTTGGGTGCTCGATCCCCAGTAGGGGGCGTGCAGGAGCAGACCATCAGTGTTTCTATCTCTCTCTCCCTTTGTCTCTGAAAAATCAATAAAAACAACCTTGGCTGGTTTGACTCAGCGGTAAGAGTGTCGGCCCGTGGACCAGAGAGTCCTGGGTTCGGTTCCCACTAAGGGCACATACCTCAGTTGCAGTTTGTCCCTGGCCCCGGTTGGGGTCGTGTGGGTGGCATCCACTCAATGTATCTCTCTCACATAGATGTTTCACTCTCTCTCTCTTCCTCCCTCTCTTCCTCTGGCTCTATCTGAAAATAAATGCAAAAAATATATGTATATACACACACACACACACACACACACACACACACACTCAGGTAAGGATTAAATAAATAAGTAAATAAATAAATAATCAATAAAAACATATTTAATCCAGCCGGTGTGACATAGTTGTTGAGCGTCGACCCATGCATCAAGAGGTTGTCGGTTCAATTCTCGGTCAGGGCACATGCCCAGGTTGTGGGCCAGATCCCCAGTGGGGGGCGTGCAGGAGGCGGCCAATCGATGTTCTTCCTCATCGAGCTGCAGGGTGAAGGTGGCCTATTGGAGGAGTCGTGCTGCAGGAAGAACTGGGGGCCCTGGTGTTCTCACAGCTGCCATGCTCACTGGCCTGAGAACCAAGGCAGGTGGTGAAGGTGCCAGAGGCTGCCTGCGAACCACATCCTGGGAGCTGGACAGCACGTTCTTAGGAGTTCTGAGTAGCACACTGCTTTTCTCCTGAGTCCTCGCGTCATTTATTCCACATGGTCGGTCCTTAGTTACCAAATATAATTGAGAATATATTCTTCTTTTGTTATAAATGAAGCAGGAAGAGCTACTGAAAGCATATCATTGAATACTAAAGTCCAATGTCTTCATTGCTATTATCTTCTTTTTTACAAAATAGTGTTGAAATAGCCCTGCAACAAAATGAAATCACGAACACATTTATTGATGACTGGAAATGTCTAGCAGAAGAAGAAGGCACCTTTGGGGACAAGACCGATACCCACCTGAAGGAATACCAGTCCTTTACCGACCTTCATAACCTAACGGAGAAAATGATCACCTGTGTCTCCTGGCATCCGGATATCTATGGTGAGATGGGAAAGAATGTGATTCCCTTTGAGATTGAAAGAGTTCGTTGCTTTTACGTATAACATTGAAAATGAGCTCAATTTCAATAAGACAACTTCTGTTTGCTGAGTGCCAGGCACCTGCTAAGCACCTTCTTCCCACACCTTCTCTCAGTCGTGTGTCCTGCCAGTAACTCTGGGATCCTACTGTGACCTCTACTTTACAAGGAGGGGACAAAGCTCAGTTCAGGGAAGTGACTGGCTCAGGTCATCCAGCTGGTGCAATGCCGAATCTGAATCTGACTCAGGCCCGTTGGACCCCCAAGGCGAACTTTATTCCCCTTGACACTGCCTCTCTGATACTGGACAAGAGAGGAGCTGCACCTCCTCCCTCTACAGCTCTCAGCAGCCACGGCAGGTAGAAGTATGTGAAGCTGGGACTTCAGAGAGAGAGGTTCTTACCCTGGTTCTTCCTCCTCCCATCCCCAACACTGGCCCTTTCCTCACACACACACACACATTTTTTTTTTTTTTACTAAATCTTCAAAGTCCAATGTTCATTTTATACTACCAGTACATCTCAGTGTGGACCAGGCGCATGTCAAGTGCTAAATAAGCGCCACATGGCTGCTGGCAAGCAAACTGAACAGCGACGCACTAAGAAAACTCTTGGTCTCCTGTAGACTTGTTTTACTCAAGTGTCATCCAAAAGGATATGAACAATGACTATGTAGAAAAAGCAAAACCTACAGACACTTTACCATGTACAGTTGCTTCAGATCTTCATCTTAATTGTGTCTCAATCAGGGCTAATAGTTGTGTCGGTGGCCATGCGACTCTCCTTTGAAGAGAGAGTTCACTTTTCTGGTAAATTATTGCTGCAACCATCACTGATTCTTTTCTGGAGCTTCTCTGATCCCATACATCCTCAGGTAATGAAGGAGAGTCATCTCGTAGTCTAAAAGTTTTAAATATTACTTTCACATATTTCTTTTAGCTCTTTTAATTGCAAAGTGCTTCATAATCACTTAATGTTGTAAATAAACCCTTATAAAGTCAGGCTGTCTTCAATTCAGAATTTGTGATCATTCAATTTGAGCGAAACGAAAGTTTACACTTTGTTTATTGAGAAAGTTCATTGAACAAATCAATGCTATTTTTTTAAATAAGATTGTAAGAGGAACATTCAACCAATTTTAAAGAGCAAGCTATCCTATGGGCTTTATTTCAATATTAATCGTTCAAATGCAAATAGATTTTAGTTTCACTCAAATTTCCTCAATTTCAAGGATCACCAGTAGATGGTGGTAATGATGTAAAGATGAGTGTGTGGGAGACTAGCCCGTGTGGCTCTGTGGTTGATCGTTGACCCATGCACCAAGAGGTTGCCTGTTTGATTCCAGTTCAGAGCACATGCCCAGGTTGTGGGCCAAGTCCCCAGTGGGGGACGTGCAGGAGGCAGCCAGTCAATGTTCCCTCTCATCCATGCTTCTATCTCTCTCTCCCTCTCCCTTCCTCTTTCTCTAAAATCAATAAAGGGGAAAAAATTATTTTAAAAAAAGAAAGTTGAGTATGTGGGGATGCAATGGGGAGCAGTAGGGACTGTGGCCGTAGAGAGTGCACATCCCATCTGTGAGGACAGCTACTCTTCAGTTTTCTTATTGTCAGGTAGTCCCGCTTGTCAAGAGAATCCAGCAATTGGGAACTTCGTGTGAAATCTCCAAATCTTTAAACAGCTATTCTAAAGCCAAACAAAAACACACAAAAGTACCGACTGAAGCCTAACCAAAACACGTGTCAATCCAAATAAAATAAGGCTGAAGGCTAAGCTTGCCCCATACGGTTCTATTTCCAATATCTGTTCAAGAAGAGTTCTGCTTAGGAAGAAAGTTAGATGAAATTTTTTCAATGTACTTAAGTGTAATAATTTATTTCTATAAAGTATTGTATAATTAAGGCTTTCCCTAATAAATCCTAGCCTCTTCTTCCTCCTCCCTTAATTCGTCTGAGTTAAGGCCGTTTTTCTGTAAGAGAGTCTAGATACTTTAATTATTATAGACTCAGAGATCAAAATGATAGCTCGCTAGTTATTTATCAGCCTACTTACCACAGAAACGGTGCCATTCTCTTGGTGGGGTTTTCTATAATTTTCGAGTGGTGTAGAGGTACTCTGCAATACAAGACATGGAAGTGTGCCTGAACTCCTAGGCAAAAAGCAAGAGGAAAGACTCTCCTCTATTTTGAAGAATAGCTTTAAAAAGACAACCAAATAATTTCTTGAAGAAATAATGCAAATGATTTATTTTGTCTTTGTTCTAATAAAAACTATAGGAAAGTATGAAAAGATTTTATTTTCAAAAGTAGAGGTTTCTCTAGAATCCATATTACCAAATTAACTGCGTATTATAAGTAAGCCCAATTCTAGTTTGCAATCTCTAGCTCAGTAATGGCAAACCAGTGGCCTTGGGGCTTCTATTTTGGGTAGTTAGGTTTACAGAAGAACAGTAACCAGGCAAGTGTTTTGCTTGGTGGTAACCCCGTAGTGCCAGGGCTACCTATGGTTGGCATACCTATTCCTTCACACTGCTGTACTCCTTGCAGAGGTTCCTCCATACCCTACTAGCACTTGAATGTGTTTACCTGCTGGGTTCTGTATTATTTTAGACTGTGTAATGTCAGCTCTGGAAATACCTTCAACCTGCTCTTATAGAACATACTTTACTTTTGCGTGCTCACTATGTGCCAGGCTAGGTACACAGCAGGGAAAAAAACAGACAAATCCTGCTGTCCCAGAGCTTGCTTTCCACATTTTTCAAAAAACGTTGATTTCACAGTCCTTTTGCTTATGAAAAATTATAAGATATCCCAACAATGACCCACGGACCATGGGGGAGGGTGGACCTGGTCCGGCTGAAAACATAACCTTCTCTCGTACATATAGCTAATGTCCACAATAAAACTCAACGGAAGCAGCTTCGAATTCAGAGGTAGAATTCTGGGAATGGACTCTCTGCACATGTTTCTTCTAGCTATAAAATTAGACTTTTGACTGTCTTAATTTTATTTTCCAGCCATGACCTTAATAGGTTTTCTCACTCTCTTGAATTTGTGGGGTTTACTCTAGTTAATGCTGGAGAGCCCAGAGGACATTTTCTGCTTCAAGTTCTGTCCATCTGACCCTAACATTATCGCTGGAGGCTGCATCAATGGGCAGGTACATAAGGATTTTTTTTTTTTTAGCTATTTATTAATTTAGATAACATTCTGTAATAAAGACATTGTGACTGGTAGGTTTTTGAACTTAAAAAGTCAACTGAGCAGAAGGAAGGTGTGTCAGTTGTCTGCCGGCAACTGGGGAATAAAGATGTGTTAAGGGGTTGGGAGATGGGAATGTAAAAAAAAAATTGTTTTTTAAAAAACCTGCCTGCTGTAGGTAAGTAAATAAGTATGTGTTAGATGTGGTGTCGGGCTCGAGGTGTCCACAGGGTAATACAGTCATGATAGTTGGAACAAAACCAGGTCAAATCTATTTGTATTGCTGACACAGAATCACCCATTGTACTAGATTTCACAGAAGAACAAAATCCACAAAAGCATCAATACCCCTTTGTCAAGAGGCCTCTTGAAATTTTCCTAGACATAGGATTTAGAAGTTGATACAGAATGTAAACAGAAATTCACTTGAAAGCACACCTATATTGTTGAATTTGTGTGTGCATCATTTTAACACCATGTTTGGTTTTTTTCTTTTTATCCTTTGTTATCTAATTTATATAAAATTTAGACCCTATACTGCCCTGGTCAGTTTGGCTCAGCGGTTAGAGCGTCGGCCTGCGGTCTGGAGAGACCCGGGTTCAGTTCCCGCTAAGGGCACGTACTTCGGTTGCAGTTTGTCCCCGGCCCTGGTTGGTCGTGCGGGTGGCAGCCACTCGATGTGTCCCTTCACGTCGATGTTTCTCTCTCTTTCTCCCTTCCTCTCTCTCCCTCCCACTCTATCTGTACAAAAAAAATGGAAAAATGTCCTCGGGTGAGGATAAAAAAAAAAAAAAAAAAAAAAAAAAAATTTAGACCCTATCCTCCATTTGCCTGTTTCTCCAAGAAAGAAAAACAAAAATCGTAAAGCTATTTTGTAGTCAAAGTTTAAATTCACTGTGATCCAGTGAATTTGGTCATTACAAGGAGATGTGATCTTTTTTGGTGTGACTGGGAAAACTTCTTTGTGTTGAAATTTAATGTCTGCAGCACCCATGCCCATTTATCCAGAACAAAAAGCATCCAGGAAAACAAAACATCTCCCTCGGTTTTGTTCAACAATAACTGGTGGTCACAATGATCCCTCAAGCCCTGCAAATCCTGAAATGCCTTTTTTACTCACTATGAAGGTAATACAACTTTGTTTCAGTTTTAGGTTTTTGGGTTTTTTTGTGTGTTTTTTTAGGAAAAAAGTGTCAGGACATTTTGTTAATGTTTTAGTACACTGAAATGACTTTTAATAATAAAAAATTAATTTAGTGTTACATATTCTACTTTATTCTGATTTTTTAAAGAAATGATTCATGTATATGCAGATTTGGAGTTGGCCATAATATCCAATTAAATAGAAATCATCATTTCTTAGACTTTTTGGACAATTGAGTATTTGTATTTAATTCTGGAGAACAAGCCATTGTCTTCTGGGTTTAAAACAGCTGTCCCCACAATCATAGCACATTCCCCAAACAGAAGGTGACCGCTTCCCAAAGAGGAGGGGAACTGCATGACATTTACCTTGGATTTTAAAAATTACTGGCATTTATTAACACGTACAAAATCAAAGTGTTGAAAATATTTTTATAGAGAAGAAAACATTCTCTTTTATTTAAAAATTTTGTGTGTGTGTTTGCAGTACTTTATTTTATTTTTTATTGTTAAAAGTATTACAGATGTCTCCCTTTTTCCCCCATTCACCCCCTCCTACCCGCTCTCACCCCGCTCCTGCCTTCCCCAGTCTGCTGTCTGTGTCGAAAAAACTATTTGTATTGATATGCACTTGGATAAGTCAATCACCTTGAGAGATAATCAAATTTAGCCTATATTTTATGTAAGGCAGCAACTTTTCAAGCTAGAGAAGGAAATTTTTTTTTTTCCCTTTATTGATTTTAGAGAGAAAAGAAGGGAGAGGGAGAGAGAGAGATAGAAACATGGATGAGAGAGAACATCGATTGCCCGCCTCCTGCATGCCCCCAATGGGGATCGGGCCCACAACCTGGGCATGTGCCCTGACCGGGATTTAAACCAGCAACCTCCTGGTGCATGGGTCGACGCTCAACCACTGAGCCACACCAGCCAGACGGAAATCTTTTTTTTTTTTTTTTTCCTGAACAGATTTTATTACACGTGATGGGGCTCAGTCCTTCTTGGCTGCTGCCTTCCTCATGGCTGCAAGGACATTGCTCAGCTCCTCTCTCTTCCTCTTGGCACGGATGTGTGTCCCTTTCCTCGATGAATTTCAGGACCCTCTTGTCCTTAGAGACCTTGAGCAGCTCCATGGCACACCGCTCATAGGGGCAAAGCCACACACCTCTCGGATCGTGTCCCACAGGAACTCGGTGTGCTTGGTGAGGCGCCCTCGGCGGCTGTGCCTTGGCTTGCTCACGCTCTTCGTCACCCTGTGGCCCTTGTTGAGGCCCACGGCCATCGGGTAGCTCAGAGCCACGGCTGCCGTTCCTCAGTGGCTGCGGCTGCCCGGAAATCTTTTTTTTTTCATATTAGCTTTAAAAGTTTCTGCCTTCCATAAAATATAATCTAAATTTGCTTATCCCTCAAGGTGACTGACTTATTCAAGTGCGTACTAATACGTATCTATTTTTTTTTAATCTTTACTCTTGAAAATATGTAATAACATTTATTTCTGTTTCAGATTGTCTTGTGGGACATTACCAGACATGTCGACCGCATAGAACACATAAAGACCGGCAGCAGTAGAAGTAAAAAAGCCACACTCAAGGTTATCTTTTTATAATTTTTCCTCTTGCAAGTTTTTTTCCCCCCATTCAGGAGTTTATCAAAAGTACATAACAGAGTTGCCAAGTTAAACAAAGACTCAAGAGGCTGGGGGGTGGGGGTGGGGGGGTCAGTGCTATTCCCCAAACCTTCACATTTGCTTTGAACATTGTTCTGAATCCCTTTTATGTAGGCCCTTGATTAAAAACACCACAAAACAGGGTGCACCATCTATCCTGGGCTGTTAAGTTCTTTTTTTGTTGTTATTGCCATTAAATAAAATCAAGGAGCCAGGTGAGTTTTCTAAAGTGATATCGTTAAAGGATCACTGGACAGAAGGCCGAGTACCCAGGATCTGGGTCATAGTCCTGTGAGTTTGGACATTTCCCCCACCTCAGCAAACATCCATTTTCTCATGTGTGAAATGAAGGGAATAATAACACACAAAGATTTTGTGAAGCTGTGGATTCTACCCAGAGGGTTGGGGAAAGCTCCCTGAGCTCCTGCCTCGATATGTACCCACCATTTGCACATGTCCACCCCCGTTCTTCAACCCGAACATCACAGGTCTCTCACCAAGAAGCAGAGAGATGTGGCCTTCTGTGCACACCAAGGAACACTCCTTCAAAAGTGGGACCTCGTTGACTCTTTAGGGCGCAAGTCAACAATTTCTGTTAAATTTAGAGAGAGAATCTTAGACTAAACTGAAGGGGGAAAGTGTATAATCTTATACCTAAACATATGTACATAGAAACACTAATTTCTGTTTTTCTTTGAACTGGTATTTCTCCAAGTCTTAATTTTTATTGGCATGATGAGTGAAGTATGAGTTTGTTCATCAGCTCTCTGAAGTTAGCACCTAAACTTTTAACGCTTTTCCAGCCCATGTTTCTCCTTGAACCAGACATTAATAAAGAAGCGATGTATATCAGACACTGCGCAGTCTCCTCCATAGAAAATGGACATAAGAAAGTGATTACAGATATACACTGGCTGCCTAACACATTTGAGGTGAGTCTCGGTGGCTTCATAGTTTTCTTCTGTTGGATTAAAAATGTTTGGAAGATTTTGTCCAAAGAGGATGTTTCAAGTCAATAATCCATTTACACTTAAATTGTGAAATAACCAAGAACTAGGTACCAAACAGTTGTGTCCCTGTTACCAGATCCATATCTGACTTGGGGATGAGAGTAAGGCCAATGATTCAATTTCCGTGGTTTAAAAAGCACTAAAAAATATAGGCGGTGTCAGCACTGATATAATGCAATAATAGAGAAGATGAGGGTTTGGTATGTAGAAGCAGAGTGTAAGTACTCTACACCCTTAGCCTTTGCGGATTTCAAGTTTGTAACGTCAGCTGTTTGGAGCAGGCAGCTCTGACAGTCTGTGCCATTTAGAAATATGTCGTTTCACCAAGGCGGTCTCGGACGGAGTGAGCCTAGGGGCTGGGGAGGCGAACACTCACTGGGCAGTGGGCGAGTCCCGCTGACCACCCAGCACCGGCACCGCAGTTCAGCCCTGCAATTGTGTACTTGACTCACAAAGTCATTTTTGTGAATTTGGAAACTGGCAAGGTCCCCGAATGTTTCACGTAAGGACACTAAAGATCTTCTGTGTACTTTGAAGAACTAACAAGTGAGACTATAAATGAATATCTGAAAAATTATAGCTATGAAAGGTGATTAGCTCTTTAAAGTATTCAAATGGATTATGCAAAGCAGCAATACTTTGAAAAGTTAAACTGGACCAAAAGAAATGGCCCAGCTATAGTTTCTGTTATATATAAAAGTTTCAACATGTGGTAATGGAAGTTACAACCCAAGAGAAGGATTTTTAACTCACACCACACACACAATTCAAATGATTATAAATTTAAATAAAAATGACATCACAGGAAAATTACAACAAATCAGAATAAAATATCATATTTCTGGAATGGAGATAGTTTTCTAAACTAATTCATGTTGAAAGAAATTCAAAGCATACATGTAAATGTGTCAATTAAAAAATAAAGAGGAGCCCTGGCCAGTTCGGCTCAGCGGATAGAGCCGTCAGCCCTACGACCAGAGAGTCCCGGGTTCAGTTCCCACTAAGCACACGAACCTCGATTGCAGTTTGTCCATTGCCCCCGGTTAGGGTCGTGTGGGTGGCAACCACTCAATGTGTCTCTTGCATTGATTTTTTTTCTCTCTCTTTCTTCCTCCCTCCCTCCTACTCTATCTGAAGATAAATAAAAATAAAAAAATGTCCTCAGGTGAGGATTAAATAAATAAATAAATAATAAAGAGCGGCCTGGCCCATGTGGTTCTATTGGCTGGGTGTCGTCCCCTGCACCAAAAAGTTGCTGGTTCCATTCACAGTCAGGGCACAAGCCTGGGTTGCAGGTTCAATCCCCACTGGGGGGGCATATGGGAGAGAGGCAGCTGATTGATGTTATGCTCTCACGTTGATGTTTTTTTCTTCTCCCTTTCTTTCTCTTTAAAAAAAAAAAAATCAATAAAAACTATTTTTAAAAACTAAATAAATAAAGAGCAAATAACAAAAATGAAGGAAAATATTTGTCCCGAATGTGGTAAATAATACAAAAGTTCCAGTAAATAAGCAAAAGATAAATACTAACCTAAAAACAATTAGAATATAAACATGAAAATCATTTAGCCTTCCTAACATAAAAAAATTAATAATAGAGCAACAATAATATACTATTTTGGACCTATTTAATATCTGAATAAAAATTTTAATTCATACCCTGTCCTAGAAACAGTAAGATGGTGCAGCCAATGAACTCCAGCATTGTTGGTTCCAACATAAAACTTTTAGAATACAATTAATCGGTGTGATTCTTAAAGCATCTAAAATTTCCAGCTTTGACCAGTGGTTCATATTTTAGGAATTCATACAAAAAAATAATGCAATTTGTGTCTCAAGATACAAAATTACATGCACACCCTGACAAAGCATGCCAAAGTGTACCCATCAAAGACGACTGGAAAAAAATACGATGTGGAACTGTATTTGATTTTAAAACCTATTTGCCAGACCTTTATCATGTTTTCTAAATAATTAAAGCATCAAACCCCAAAGCAAGTAGGTCTCTGGAGTCTCACACCCTCTACAACCAGGGAAGCGCATTAGAAGGAGAGGCAGGATGGGTTCTGGATTATTTATCCGAGGTGAGGGGAGTTTGGCAGCTGTTACTGAAACTGAACCCGGTCGGCCACAGCAGTGCCGGCCAGGTTTCCAGGGTCTGAGCTCCTGCGATGCCAACAGGCCTTACCCGTGCTCATCCTCCCCCACTGCCCCGCTCACTTGCTGCCAGAACCCCATTTCTGCCGTCTCGCCCCTCAGTACTACCAGGAGGGTGGAGAATTGGAGAAAGCTGTGTTTCCCTATTGATTTGAGAGCGGCACCTTCACGCGTTGCCCGCAAACTTTTCACCTCATTTGAGAGCTAACTGGCTGGAATTTTGGACCTTCCAGGACCCTGAGGAGCATTACTCCTCCTTGGAATTGTCTGTGTGCTAGCAGCTCCGTGCCATGGCTGACTCAAAGTGTAGGTTCTGCCCTGGCCCCTGTGGCTCAGCGATTAGAGTGTCAGCCCAGGTACCAAAGGGTCTTGGGTTTGATTCCCAGTCAAGGGCATGAATCTGGGTTGCAAATTAAATCCTGACCCCATCAGGGCGCATATGGGAAGCAACCAATCAATGTGTCTCTCTCACATTGATGTTTCTCTCTCCCTCACTCTCTCTCTCTCTCCCACTCTCTCCCTCCCTCTCTTCCATTCTCTCTAAAAATCAATGGGAAAAAATCCTCGAGTGAGGATTAAAAAAAACCAAAATGTAGGTTCCATAACATTCACTGCATGCTGTTGGTGTCTAATTTAACACAAAACCTCTTTTCTCTTGATTTTACTGCTTAACTATCTTATTAAAGCTCCTGTGCTTAGCTCCGGAAATAATAATGAAAAACAGAAAGAGCCTACATTTCTAATAATAATGGATAATGAGATTATGATATGCCATCTATTTTATAAAACTATTAGAATGATTCAGGTAAGCATTGAATTATAATCTCAGGATATAAATTTATATGCATACTCATTAAAATTACATAAAAATGTTTCTGTGAAAAAAGACTGGAAAGTATATGGCAGAATTTTATTTGATTTTAAAATCTTCTATTTTGTGAATTTCTGTGATAGTGTTATGCTCCTTTAAAATTTTTAAAACAAAGGCCCGGCCAGTGTGGCTCAGTGGTGGAGCGTTGACCAAGTGGTCTCCAGTTCAATTCCGAGTCAGGGCACATGCCAGGTTGTGGGCCAAATCCCCAATGAGGGGCATGCAGGAGGTGGCCAGTTGATGCTCTCTTTCACCAATGTTTCCATCTCTCTCTACCTCTCCCTTCCTTTCTCTCTAAAATCAATAAAGGAAAAAAAATTAAAACAAGAAAAAATTAAAAATGTAAAAAGCTATGAGAAAGAAGTCATTACTGTTCTAAGTACATAGAACTTACTTCTGCCTTTTTTAAATAGATTAACAGAATGGGTTCCGTCTTTGAGAATCGAAGTGGGATATGCTGTCAACTTGTCACCTGCTCTGCAGATTGGTATGTCTTATCTTAAATGTTACCGAATATGTTTTCATGCAATGTATTCTTTCTTAGGTGTTTCTAAAATTGTTGTTCCTTAAGTAATCTCTATTATAGTCATTAAACTTTATATAACTGAAGGAAAGAATATTATAGATTGTTGCTGGTTAAAAATATTGTTTTATAGATACAAATATGTTGTAAAAAAAATTAACTAGGGCCCTGGCCAGTTTGGCTCAGCGGTTAAAGCGTTGGCCTGCGGTCCGGAGAGACCTGGGTTCGGTTCCCGCTAAGGGCATGTACTTTGGTTGCAGTTTGTCCCCGGCCCTGGTTGGTTGTGTGGGTGGCAGCCACTCGATGTGTCCCTTCACATCAATGTTTCTCTCTCTCTCTCCCTTCCTCTCTCTCCCTCCCACTCTAGCTGTACAAAAAAATTGAAAAATATCCTCGGGTGAGGATAAAAAAAAAAAAAAAAAAAAAGAATTAACTAGGTTTCATGATTTATACTGTTATATAATGTGATCCAAAGTTATTTTGCTTCCTCACATTCTCATATTTGGAAATTTGCATTTTGGGTTGTTTTCATTTAATTGTATCTTACAAAAAGTGAGAGTTTTATATTTTTATTGCATCTTGATAAAAAGTGTTTTTATAAAAAATTTGGTAACTATGTCGAAGAACGTTTATTTTAAAAATTGCATCTCCCCATTTATAGAACTCAAAGTTCATAATGAAATGGGAAATATGAAGAGTAACAGTATTATCTAGCATCCAAATACTGGCAAGATTTGACCATTCCAAATACCTTTGACCACAGTAGCAACAATGACACCTCAAGCCATAGGCTCTGACAGCAGAAGAAGCTGCTGTGGCAGGTGAAGGCATGAGCAACATTAGCATGGGCCAGGGGTGGGAAAGACACGATTAATCCCATGGCCATGTATTGGGTAAGGTTCTGTGATTGCAAGCAACAGAAATTGACCATGGCTAATTTACGGGGACAAAATAAATGTATTAGAAATACATTTATTAGAAGTTTATGCCGAAGCTCTACTAGGTGCTTTAATAGATTAACCTTTTTCATATTGACAACAACCCTGAAAAATACTTATGGATAAAGGAAATAAGGCTCTGAAGGTAAAGCTTGCTATATATGGTGATATATATAAATATATATACATACACACACACACACACAAAATCATTATATCATAGCTAGTAGGTAATGATGTTGCTAAATAAAAGGAAGAGCTTACTCAGGCCTCAGAAAAAGCCCTGGGGATTTGGATAGCAGGAGTAAATAAATGGCCAACCCCTTCATTATGAATGAATCAGTTCCAACCTTTGTGTCACCAGAGAGTCTGACTTCTATTACATTATGAACTCACCCCTGCGGCAGGGAAGGAATGGCAGAGCACCTTGAGTGACAGTTCCAACTTGACTGCATCCAGTAGGAAAGAAGCCGTTCCCTGCAAACAATTAGAATGCTTTCGCTAAAAAATGGGTGGGGAGAAAGTACTTATTCTCCAGGCAAAAGCAATACATGGCATCTATAGGACCACATGGAATATTATGCCGCAATTAAAATATATTATTTAATGGAAAAATGCTTATGGTGTAAACCACAAATGCAGAGCTATACTGTTCTTCAGTAGTCCTGGAAAACATTTAGAAATACTGAGCAGACTAAAAATATTGCCTGTTCTATATTAAACATACAGATCTTTGTCGTTTGTAATGACGGCCCTTGAATTTAGAAATATTCTAAGAATAGTTCCTTCAAAGGTTGTTAAAGTAAAAAGAAAAAGTTAATACATTTAGAAAAGCTAACTTTTAGTTACCTGGAAAACTCATTAGTCCTAACCTTTATACTTCAGCCATGCTGAAGGTGTTATAATATACGGTTCCATTCATTAAGAATGTGTGACTGATTTATACGGAAAGTTCAACTGAAATTTTATGTATTTAGCATAACCGTTTCACAAAAAACTGCAAATTAATGGCATAAATGAGATTCAAGAAGAGCTATGCAATTTTGAAAGTTTTAACTCAACTATAATTCTATTTTTAAATAGATTTTATTTCATCATTTGTGGTACTCTCCCAAGGATTTATGTTTTTACAACACAAAAAAGTATTGCTATTTTTAGTAAGTTTTCATTTTAATAATTTCTTAATTTAAATTTTAATAATGTTATCAAAATTAATTTAATTAATTTATTTTTAACTATTCATTAAGATGAATAAATTATTAGTATTAATTAAATAGTTCACATAAATGAACATAAGTTTTGTTACTCTTTAGTTATCATCTATTTATCTAAATACATATATATATCAATATCTTTAATAATATCTTAAATCAGGTTACTCATAACCTCAGTGATAGAAACCATGGAGCTAATATGACAGACTTTTTGTGGTTTTCATATAATTAATACAAAGATCCTATATACTACAGCAGTGTACAAGTTTTATTATAAATATTTTACTAAGTTAATTGCACTAAAAATAACACTCTATATGTGTGGAACTTATAAATAATTTTCACACACATTATCTCATAATCAACCTGTGAGGAAGGGGAAATAAGAGAAGTAACACTTCATGGATGCCTACTATGTAAAACGCACGTTAAATCCAACTCCATCCATGTATGTGGTGTTTTCACTGTATGTATGAATGGGAGTGACTGCTGATCTGCACAGGATTTCTTTTGGAGGTGATAAAAACCTTCTCAAACTGAATTGGTGATGGTTGCCTCACCCTGCGACTATATTGAAAACCACTAAATTCTGCATTTTAAATGGATGGATTTTTGTATATGAGTTATATTTTCAAAAGGCTGCTCTAAAAAAAACACGATTATGTCAATCTCCTAACTCAATAGTCATTTTTGATAATATTAGTCTAAAGACCAGCAAAATTATTAAATAACCATATGAACTGTATAATTCTCTAAAATATAAATGAAAAATAATTTTATTGGATAAAATCTAACTTTCAGAGATACTAAAATATAACCAGGATCACATTGCTAATGTGTAGCAGCAAGAATACTCGTCTTGAGGTTACACCTCTTATTTGTACTTAACAAAAATAATAAAATGTAAACTTTCTTTAAAGCACAGTATGTTTTTGGGACATCAGACAACAGAAAACTGCAACCCCTCAACCAACAGAAAAAAAGAAAGAAGAAAGTATTGAAATTCCTTCTGACATACCACCTACTTTTTTGCATCTAGATCTCTCCTGGAAACCTCTCTCTAAGGTAAGTAACATAGGATTTATTCCATATATTATATAATTTATATACATAGACATACACTGTAAAAGTAGAACAGCTCAAATTAACACAGAACTTTACAATGCATGTATTCATTCATCCAATAAATTCCTTGATTATTATGATGCCTGATTACATCAAGCCAAAATCACAATTATTGTCACTTGAAATTAATATTTGTTCATGTGTAAGCAAGCCAGAATGTAGAAACACTTTGAATAATAATTATTCAATTGTATATCAGTTACTTGAAGATGGGTACCATCCCAGGTTAGCCCAAGAAAGCTAATTTCGTCACTATTATTCTGAATAGTTTGCACATATCAATAGTAGGGAACAATATTGTAATACTTATGACCAAACAAAATTGTAAAGTAATTGAAAAGAAATTATTTGTAATTATCTTGAGTAGCAGAGCTTCAGGAAAAGCAATTTTAATTTAATGTCCTGGCCGAGTAGCTCAGTTGGTTAGAGCATCATCCTGGTATGCCAAGGTTGGGGGTTCAATCCCCAGTCAGAGCTCATACAAGAATCAACCAATGTGTGCATCAATAAGTGGAACAACAAAATCTCTCTCTCTCTCTCAAAAACCAATCAATAAAATTTTTTAAAAAAAGAAAAGTAAAGCAATTTTAATTTAAGAAAGACACAGCTATAGTGGGTTGTGTCTGGAAGCATAAATGGACCGTTGATGTTGATGGCTCTCTTTCTTTGGAATGTCTAAGTCTAATTCCACTCTTAAAATTGTTTAAAATTTTATTTGTAAGTATCAGTAAAATTACATTATTTTGTATTTGTTTCCAATAAAAGAGCGAGCATGAAGGGGTGAGAATTTTCCTGAAGTAACTGGGATTAGAAATTATAAACAGAGGATTAGAAATCTTTCTGGACTAGGAACTACTAAACTTGAACTAGTTTGAAAAGAAAGAAGCAAACAAAAACTCACCTGAGAATAATTGTGTAGCATGGGGACAGACACCCTGACGGAGGACAGCGGGCAGAGAGCCATGAGGGGGAAGGTAAAGTGTGACCATTTTCCATTATGGTGCAGACCCCAGGCCACTCCTTGAACTCAGGGGCATGTGTGTCCCTCCAAGGGGACTCGGCAGCGCCAGGTAGATGAAATGTCCCTGCACATATTTCTGGAGCTTTGTTGAACTGCAAGATTTAGGAAACAGGAGAATGAGCCATTGTTTTATATTAAAGCCAATAAGGACGTGTTATGAAATAGAATACAAAACATTTTCAGAAATTACAAGACACATAAGACTTTGGGATTTGGAAATGAGCCCTCAGATGAGTTCCCTTGAGTAGCATGGTTTTAGAAACTGGTTGAGGTGCTGTCCATGGGGAAAAGCAACGAGAAATCTTAGGGAGAAGGGAGAAAGACAGGGAGGTGGAAAACAACTATCTGGGGGCAGAAGGGAAAAGAATAATGTAAGAATATATGAAAATAATCTTTCTTTTATGTTCTCCCAAAAGCTAAAACTATCTAGAGGTGATACAAGTTTAGACCACTGCTCAACCAGGATAAGCCTGAATGAAGACTATGTCCTTTTCAGAACACAAGGTAACTGCCTTTGTTTATTAAAAAAGCACTTGATAGTTTGAGTGTTAGTGGCTAACCTCTGAGTGTACCCACCTTCGAGCAACGGATATGCAATTGCATAAATATGATGCAAACCGTTTCTAAACATTGATATTAGGTGTAAAAATACCATCTCTTTTTTTCTACCATCTCTCAGGGATTAATGTCCTCTGTGGTCTAATGTCCAATTTTTTTCAAAAAGACTATAATTTTATGTGGTTTGCCTGTTTCCGGTGAGAGAGCATAAGTCCAGCGCTAATTGCTTCATTTTAGCCACAGCAGAAGTTTCTCTCACATGTGTTTTTAAAAATTCATTATGAGATAAGACTTTTTTTTTTTTAAACAAATGTATGTGAACTTGAATGTCCCGAAACTGGTGTAATTTCTGTTGATCCTTCATTTCTTTACCAGTATGAGACTCCTAGTTTAGGTCTTTCTGAAGACTGCCTAAATATGGTACCCTTTCTGAAGGCAGATGCCTTTTTCTCCCCTTTAAGGACATTGTTCTTCCTTTTAGTGTAGGCACTGCTAGCACCATGGAATAGATGCATAATGCTAAATGTGATCAGAAGGGTTCTACAGAAATATTGTAATCCTTTAGTTTTATGAAGAATAATGTTTATACTGTTATATGCATCTGTATTTATTCAAAACATTAATCGAAGTTCTGCCAAGTGCCAGGCTCTGAGGATATAGCTGTGAAAAAGACAAGTCCCTCCTTCCACGGCGTTTACATTCTGGTGGGATAAACATTAAAATACGTAACAAGTGCGTGTCTGCCTCCGTTAAGGAAGTGCCTACTTAAAATGAAGAACCTTGAAGCATGCCCCCGACGTCATCAAACAGGAATATTCTTCATCAAATGAATTTCTCTTTCCAGACAAGGTCACTTTTTGGGTTTCTCGGAGAAAAGCATATTTGGCTCAATCCGTTCATGAAGGGAATGGACACACATTTCCAGATTCTCAGCTGAGACTCTAGTTGGCCATGTCCCCTTATGAGTGTCCAGAAATCCACATTACAGACAATTCCACAGGTCCTGGACAGGAGTAAATGTCACTCGGTAGTGCCATGGATCTTGCTAACACATGCCTCTTATCTCTAAAGGCATTCACCATGACCACGTCTTTTCTACCTTTTCAGCCAGTTTTCGGGACTTATTTGAGATCTAACTATGGTATTTTGGGTCTCCTTCAGACACACTGACAGCTGTTCACCTACTCTGGCCTGACTTGGACCTGTTGACTCAAAAACACTCATATGCTCTTGGCCACATTTTGCTTATTGACCCTACAGTATGAGTGGTTCTCCCTGTGAATCATAGGGTCTTCTCCAGACCTCACTTGCTCAGCGGCAGTGTCTGGTGCTCGGCTGCCATCTAGTGGCCACAGGCACTCACCTAGTGCCCTTCTAAGCAGTAGCCGCTCTAAATTCTATATTTACTCCAGTGAAGAAACCTTTCCTGAAAATGATTTTGGAATTCTTCTTTGGGGATAACCTTCAGAGCCTGTGCTATATTCTTATAAGCAATGTGGCAATGGTTTGGGTTTAAACCCCAAAGCCACCATATATGGTTTTGACCAAGTCAAATTACTTTACCATCTTATGACTTACTTTTTTTTTTTAACCTGTTCGAAAAGAGAAAGGAGAAAATAGGAGGAGAGGGTGGGGTGGGTAAATAGATACGTGCCTCATAGAGTACTAAGAAAATAAAATGAGTTGATAGATGTAAAACTCTAAGAACAGTACATCATCAACTCACAATAAATGTTAGCCACCGGGTGTGAGATCTTGGCTAGGTTACTTAACTGCTCAGCGCCTGAGCTGACTCATTCCTGACAGAAGATTAATGTTTAACCACCTTGAGCTATTGTGAGGATTGAAAGCAATGGTTCGTGAGCACACAGTTCAGTGCCTGGCGTGTGGTAAGCCTTCAGTAACAGTTCGCTGCTATTGTTACTGCTCTGCTCAGTGATGGAAAATCCATAACCTAAAAGGACGACGTTGAATTGAATAAATATCCAAGTTATTTTGGTCAGGTCTGAATAAACACCGTCGATGATAACGTTTTTCTTTGGCCACCTCCTCTTTGACGCTACCACCTTAAAACTGTCTATCGACTGAGCCCCCTTTCTTGTCTTCTGTGATTTTTCTGATACTTCGGTCTCTCTCCTCTGTCTTCTTCCCTGGTCCCGTTTACCCTGCTGCCCTCATCACTGAACACACCTCCAATGCTAACTTCAGCTGTCTGCTTTTCTTTCATTACACTCTCCGTTTGGTGATGTGCTCTACTCTTTTACTGCTGCCGAGAATCCTCCACCTCCTTTCTCTCCTTCTCCTGGGTTTGAACCCAACTTTCCCCCCAAAGTCAGTCTGTTCAGAACAGAATTTTGCATCACCCAGGACTCTCTCTTCAGGCCCCCATGTCCAGTCTCTCGCTCAGGACCATTGTCATTCACAGCGCATCTCACGTATGCCTCTTCCTCTGCATTCCTCGCCGTGACCCTGGATCGGGCTCTTGTGTTCCCTGGTTAGATCAGAGGGCTCCACGATTCTTCATCTTGCACTCCCTCAGGAAACCGTTTTGAGCACAACTCCCAGTGAACGTGTTATTATTTACAAATGATATACATGTTCTACTCGACTAACAGACGCATGTTTTCTTCCAATTTGTATGCCAGCTTTATTAGGTTTGGTCTTTAACCCCATTGCAGCTAGTTTTACTTGAAACATGGCTTACATTTTTTTTTCTTTAGATATTTTATTTATAATTTTTTTTTCAATTGCAGTTTATATTCCTTATTCTTTTGTATTAGTTTCAGGTGTACAGCAAGGGGCCAGATGATCGTATACTTTACAAAGTGTGCTCCCTGACATTTCCAATACCCAACTGGCACCATACATAGTTGTTATAATATTATTGATTATATTTTCTATGCTGTACTTTGCATGTTTATGACTATTTTGCAACTAACAATCTGTATTTAATTCCTTCACGTTTTTCACCCAGTCCCCTCACCTGCTTCCCCCTGGCAACCATCAGTCTGTTCTCTGTGTCTATGAGTCTGTTTCTGTTTTGTTTGTTCATTTATATTGTTCTTTAGATTCCACATATAAGTGAGACCCTACTAATATATTTATATATATTATTTTTAAAAAGAAAAACGGACATTGAAATAAGAGTGAAGAATTTGAAATAAATATTTTAATGACTTTAATTTTATAAATTAAATGGATACAAAGTGCCTTTTTGCTCTTGCTAAATGTATTATGAACATCTTTTAATAAGAACAATGTGTTTGAATGTGCCTAGTTATTTCTGAAACGTTGACTGACACATTAAAGATCTGGATCCATGTTTGGCTTAACTTGGATACTTGTTTTTAGTGTCTTATCTAATGGAGAAAGGGGCCCCTCAAAACATATAGATCCCAAACAATGGAAGTGTTGGTTGACTGTACCTGCTAAGTCATGATCATTATTTTTTACTTTTGTCCAGAATTATGCTGAAGATTTTTCGAAATGCAATATATACTTTTAGTACAGCTGAAATTTTCTTCTCCTATTTTAGTTTTCATTTGTATGTTTGTTGGTTGGTTTTATGTTTTGTTTGTTTGTTTTCCCATGGGTGATATAACCCAGGGAGTATATTGAGATGTGGTGAGGAGGGTTTTGTGAGCATATTTTCTCTACCATCTTTCCCTAAAACTTAGTATCACATTTCTTAAAAACTAGTAAGTCACCTGGGAAAGTATCCAAAAAACACCTTTAAGAGAATAGGAAAGTAGGATATAGCATTAACAAACCCAATTTTTAAAAAGCTGTTAATATACATACACAGAAAAGTAACTAGAAGAAAATATACCAATATTTTAATAGTGGTTATCTCTGGTAGATATGATAATGGGTACGTTTTGTAATTTTCCTCATGCTTTTCTCTCTTTTCCAAAGTTTCAATAAGTAACATATTGATTTCAGATCATAAAAAGTTTTTTGTTTTAAAACAAAGTGACATCAGATACTTTTAAAAAGAAAGACATTTCAGATGACATTTGGATTTCTGCTTACAGATTAGCTGTGCTTTTACTGTTTGCTATGTATTTTTTTTAAATATTTTAATTGATTTTTAGAGAGAGAGGAAGGGAGAGAGAGAGAGAGAGAAACATCGATGAGAGAGACACATCCATCAGCTGCCTCCTGCAGGCCCCCTACTGGAGTATCAAGCCTGCAACCTGGGCATAAGCCCTGACCGGGAATCAAACCAACAAGTGAACCGTGGTCCAAAGGACAACACTCAATCACTGAGCCACACTGGCTGGGTGCCATGTATTGTTATAGCTATAATATAATACAATCATTGATATTCATAAATAATAAACCTATGCTAATCAGAAAACAAATAATGTTATATATGCTGTGCTTATGACAGACAAGTAATACATTTGAGATGGATTTATTTTTTAGAATTTAAAGAATATTTTACTCTTATAAAGTTAATCTTGAATGGTTTGAAAAATTTCCATATGATGCCAACTGAATAAAAATGACATGAGTTTCTCATTAGAAAATCTTATCAAGACTATCAAGGGTGATATAACCCAGGGGATATATTTAGTGTGCAATGTTTACTGTAAATAATTTCAAAATGATGTAAATATATAGAAGTGGTTTTCAAGCTGTGTACCATGAAACCTTGTAGAACTCCCAGCAAAGATGACAGAGGAAAGGTCCCATTTCCACCCAGGTAATACTTTAAAGAGCAAAGCAGCTCCTATCAGTTTTACATGCAGGGGGTCCTGCATAAGCTTTGGTTTGAGAAAAAGCATCCTACTGCTAAATTAGAAGTCTATAAATGTGCAGATTTCCACCTACCCCACTGAGGAGGAAATGAGCAGATGTGTATGACAATGGACAGAAAATGTAAACTAATTATATTTTTAAAGATAATTCACTATAAACATGTGCATCTTCTATCCATACTCCTCTGCAAGACAGTGTTATCTCAGAACAAAGTCATAAACGCCGAAGGAATGAACCCATACCATAACCTGGAGAGCGGGCTGGCCAATATCCTCAAGCCAATAGAAGACTTCTCTACAAAGTTCTTTGTGGGAACAGAGGTGAGTCAGAATGATCTGTTTTTAAAATAAACATTTTTAATTATGTTGAAATATTTGATGAATAACCCCTATTGTACATGTTTGTTTTATGAAAGCTTATAACATTTATACCTCTTTTATATTTTAAAATGCTTATTTGCACTTAAAATTTTTAACCTCAGTGCCCCATAAATTCATATTTAAAATGTTCCTGAATAAATATGGAAAAAAATCTATAAAATTAAGCATGACCCTTTTTACTAGTAATGTGTTTATCAACCTGCAAATTTTATTAAACACCTATACCATATGAAAGAAACTATGCTAAATGTTAGAGATTTACTAAGAAAATATATTGTTTTGTTAGGCCAGCACCATTTACTAGGAAAGATAGTTTACAACTTCACTCATTTCAAAAGATAAATAATAGCTGGATATAATAACAATAATGGCTGCCATTTTTTAGAATCTACTATAGTAAGCAAAACAGGTTCACATTTATTGGATATTTTCCATATAGCAGGTCTGTGCCAAGCATTTTACAAATTATATCTCATTTAACCTTAATAATCTTGTAAGGGTGATAATTATTACTCCCATTTTACAGATGAAGAAATGAGGCTCAGAACTTGATCTTAGAGTCATACAGAAGCAGAGATGCCTGTTCATTCATGACTCTATTCACCTGAAGTAAAGGGTGTTTCCTCCTAGGCCACAGCACTGTGGGAAGACACCATAGCTCAGTCTCACCAAATGCAGTTTGCATTCACACTTGAGTATTACAAGGGGATTAGTCAGTTCCTCCAGCTCTCAAGAATGTACTGCCTGCCAGGCGCTGTGCTGGGCCCGGGATCAGAAATGAATCAACAGCACAGTTCCTGTCCTCAGGGTGCTCGGTGCCTGGTTGAAGACCAGACACCCTGACAGGATGCCGACACAGGTCCAGAGGCCACAGGGCCCGGAAGGTAGAGGTTGGGGAAGGGGATCCGTGAGCAGGCTGGACATTGGAGGTTGAGGAGACACCCAAAAGATCAGGGTGAGAGTACAGCTTGCAGCAGAAGGAACTGCCTGAACAGTATTTGAAGCTATGAGAGTCTGGGGTTTGTCTGGCGATGGTAAAATAATTTGGCGTAAGACAGAAATCTATGCCTAGTCTAGGTTGCGGGTCCAACCAAAAGGCCTTTTTCTGCCATGTTAGGTAATTTGAATTTCATGTGGTAAATATATACCAAATAGATATATGTTTTATAACTTGGGCTTCACACCAGAGTTTTTAGATTTTTAATTCTGAAAAGACTATGTAACCAAGTTTACCATCTTAACCATTTTTAAGTGTACAAATCAGTGGCATTAGATGCATTTATATCACTGATCATTTCCTCCTGCCCCAGCCCATGGAAACCACCATTCTGTTTTCTGTCTCTATGAATGTGACTATTCTAGGTACCTTGTGTAAGTGAAGTCATGTCATTTTTGTCCCTGCGCACACCAACATTTTAAAGCAAGGGAATGATTGCTTTAAAAAGATAAATAACTGCAAGATCTTAAAGCAGAACTTAAAAGATAAAACCCTTTGTTTAAACTCGTCAGTGATGACTCAGTGAAATGTGAATTAAGTTCGAACACTGAACACGGTGGCCTGTAAGATTCTGCATAATTTGGCTCCTTCCTGTCACTCCGTATCTATCTGCACCAGTGTCCCTCCCTCACTTCAGCTGATTTTTGTCTCATTCCTATACACAGGACTTTCCTGCCCATCTAGCCCTTGCCCTGCTTGGAATTATCTTCAGTCATCATTCAACAGATATTCTTGAGCATGTTATGCCCAAAGCGCTGTTCTTGGCCCAGGGAATAGAGCAGCGAATAAAGTAGACAAAATTCCCTGCCCTCCTGGGGCTGACATTCCAGTGGAATGATCTTCAACCCTTGACAGGGCTAATCCCTCTGCTCTGGGATCTGGGCTGGGTGGTGCAGGGCTGAAGCAGGAAGGAGGGTGTCCTGGAGGCAGAGAGGTCAGATTCGGGGGGATTTCGGGGGGGGGCAACCCTGAAACAAAGAGGGCCTGACCAAGGGTGCCAAGAATGTCAACCCAGAGGTTAAGGGAAGTAGAATTGTCAGAACTAGATAACTGGATGGAGAAGGACGTGAAGGTTTCCGACTACATGGCTGATGAGATAATGGGCACTCAACACAAATTTATTAACCTGGTTCAAACTATTCCTGTTTGAGTTGGTTTCATATCAGTGCTCCATGTACCAGCTGTGAGACCCAGGAGACACTAATAACTCTCCTACAGGGCTTTGGTGAGGGCTGGGGTTGCATACATTAAGCTCCCAACAATTCCGGCAAGCACCGGGTGCTCAGTGAGTGGTAACTATGAGGGATGTGCCACAGGCAACAGGCTGGACGTGTCCACTAGACATGTATAGTCTGCCTGTGCCCTTGGACTGTGACTGTGAATGGGGAAGGCGCTTGTCCTCTGACTCTGAATTTCCAGCACCAAACACAGTCCTTTGTTAAATGAATTAACTTGGATGAATAAAGCACAGATGAGCAAATGAGCGGGTTCTGGCCCCAATAAGCGTATCCCCCACTTTGCATAAATCAAATGTTTTCCCATCTCCCCTCCCTCGCCTACACATCCCAATCCATCTTCTCCTCCAAGTCCTCTCACCTTCTAGTTTTATACAAACTTCGCTGTGTTGCTCTCTTATCCAGGGGGGCGAAACTCAAATTAGGAGACTGCATTTGGGTGACCTTGAGTAAGTCATTAAACCTCTCCGAGTCTCCGTTTTTGCATCTGAAAGACTAAATTTTTTTCTCTAAACCTCTCCCACATTCGTTGTTTCCCCTCCTGTGTGTCTGTTTCTTTCTACCTCTTCTCTACGCCAGGTCCCTCTGCCTTCCCCTCTCCTGAAAATGGGCCTAAGTGGAGCTGAAATATATATTAGTTACCATGTCATTTGAATGGAACTTTATGTTTCCTGTTCTCAACTTTAAATGGTAATGAGTACCATATTATGAACTCATATTCCCTCTTTCTCTTTGTCCCACAAATATTTATTTGTACTGCTGTGCAACATGCTGAGAATAAGCCACCGAGTAAGTTGGATGAGATCCCGCTCCTCCGGGGGCTTTCAGTCCATCAGGACCATTTCCTGTTAACAACGAACACCCTGGAAACCCAGCACTTGGAATTGGTGTACATAGATTACCCCCATCATGGCCTGTGTTTTCCAGACCACTGTGTATAGACACACAGTCATAAAACACACTTTTCCTTCTTGTTTGAGATAAAATCATGTTGAGCTTTTTCCTACCATCGTACAAAATGATCCCTTGGCTAAATTGACCTGCAGCTTTGTATTTGTTACAATCCATCTTAGCACATGAATATGAGGGGGGTTGCCTCTTAAGCAGCCATTGTACTCATCAGGGACCTTTCATATTTTTAGGAAGGCGAAGTGTTATACGCAGATTGGAAAATGGAAAGAGACTCTGAAACTGGCCGATTGATGAGTAAGTTTTGATGAGTGTTCTATTGTCAGTAGGTTGTTCCTGTTTTTAATAAAGTACCTGGTGTTCCTGGCCTGGCTAGTGGAAGGGAGGGCACCTGAGATTCTGACACTGCACTTGTGACTTAGAGTGAGGGCCTCGGACGGACAGGCAGCCCCACTGTCAACCGGGAGCTTGTTGGAAATACAGAAGCCTGGGTCCCACCCCAGGCCTACTGAATCGGAATATGGATCTTACTAAAATTTGCCAGGTGATTTGTTTTCACTCCAATACTTGAGGAGCACAGTTCAAAAATAACCATACTGCTTCGATCATTCAACAACCTGGTAGCTCATCTATGTGGAAAATCTGAGTTGATGTGAAATTATAAGCTAAGTGTATGATGATCTTGAAGACCTCAGGACAGTATGGAAGAAGTACCTGTAGGACCCTCCTTGGGGGTTGGGGACTTGGGGCAGCTGAGCAGAGGGTGTGAGGGTCACACCCAGGTGTGAGCAGGAATCAGTCAAGATTCAGGCTCCTCAACAAGCAAAGCTCCCTGTCAAAGCTCAGAGCCTTGGGCTTTCTTACCATGGCAGATACTTAACTTTAACGCTTTGGGGTTTTCATGGCATAAAAATATATTTGAACCACATTTCAAAGCATGGAATAACCACAAGCAAAGGAAGAGGCAGCTCCTGGGACGTCCCCAAGGGAAACTGGTCAATCTTTTGGACAAAAGGACACGTGAGTGACTGACAGGGTCAGAGGTCAGAGCCACGGCCTGCAGGGAACAGCTCTGGGAGTCAGGTCTCCTGAGGCACTCAGGTCTCTGCCTCAGACTTCACTCCTTTCACTTCTACCACTCGGTCCCCAGACTGGAGCCTGCCTCCGCCTGGGAAGGCTTCTTTGTCAGCATTGCCTCCAGGTAGCCATTTTAATCTGGAAACAAAAGCTTTCCTGCTTTTCTAACAAGGTGTCCCCTAACCAGAACCCCAAATCTGTGTTATCGAGAGGGGTAGGGCGCTGAGAGAGAATTAGATGTGACCCAAGGGAGGGTCAAGTTCATGCAGAACTGAGACTGATTTATTCCCAATTCTGTGATTTGAAGTTGAATTCAAAATTGTGCATTGGATAAAATGAATTACAACCAACTGCTTTTATGTTTATTCATGTTTCTATGCAGTCACTGATTTATTAATGTTCTGTGCACATTCTGCATGCCAGGGGCCGTGTGACATGGCAGCCGTCTCCACCCCAACCCTGGGACGAGCTTGATGCCATGACTCGGTTACACACAGGTGGACACTGTCTCCTTCTGGTCTCAGAGATTTTCTGGGGGTCTTACCTCCTCCTGCAGCTTCCTAAGCTGCTTTTGAGGAGGCCCGTAGCAAACAGGTTTAGTTATTTTATTAATGAATTTTACCCCATTTATAGAATAACCAATGACAATAAACTTAAAAACCAAGACCTTTATGTTTGAACTTCCCTGATGTTTGTTCTTTCTTACTTACTTTCATTTATTCACCAAATCACTGTTGAGAACCTACTGTGTGCTGCGCACTAATGATGTAAAGATAAACAAGCTATTATTCCCCCTCTCCCCCGGAGGAGTCCCACGATCTATTGGAAAAATCAAACACATAAACAAATGATGATTGATTCTCTTGGGCTCCTAAGAAAAGGCCCCGCTGAAGAGAAATCCAGTGGAACTGGGTCCTGAAGGGTGCAGTGCAGTTCTCCCGATGGAGAAAGACATTTCGAGTAGAAAGAATAACAAGTGAAAAACATGGAAGCCTTTGGGACCAGGGGACGGTGAGGAAACAGGGACATCTCATGGCCAAACCACAGCAACAGAAAGGTCAGCAGCAGCAGGAAAGGTGCCAGGAAGCACATCTACATGCAGACGGCCAACAGACTTGAGAACCCTACTAAGAGCCTTGGGCTTTATCCTAGAGCCACTGTATAATCAGAAAATCACTCGGTTAGGGCACAGGAGCTGGATTAATTTGTTGGTGCGATTTGCAATGGCCATCCCTGGGGCCTGTGGGTATTGGCACCAAAGAGTGGGAAACATCCAGCTCTGAGGACCGGCCTGGGGGGGAAGGAAACCCAAACAATGGCCCAGTGAACAGACCAGAGAAGCAGAAGGCCCCCGGGCCTGAGGCAGATACTACGGGGAAGTCTTGGTCTTCAAGTCCAAACCTGCTCTTCCTCTAGTCTTCCCAGTTTCCATAAATAGAAACTCTGTGGAGCCAACTGCTTTTACCAGAAACCTGGCTGCTATTCTCAGCACTTCGCCCCTCCCCTCCAAGCCGTCTCCAAGCCCTGTCAATTCTAGCTTGCAAATGTGTCTTGATTATCTACTCTCTTCTATTGCATCTTCATCTGCTCTCACCAGAACTACCACGACAGCCTCCTCTGGTGTTCCCTCTTTGCTTTCACCACCCACCAATCCATTCTCCCCACAGAAGCCAGAAAACCTGGAAACGTCAACCAGGTTGTGTTCTAGGCCTGAAGCATTCATTAAACACATTACACTTCGAATATAACCCATAAGCCTTTCCTATAAGGCCCTGCATGGTCCGGAAACTCCTGGTTCCCTTTGTTCTACAGGTCTCACACCGGGATCACCAGACTCAATCTAATTGTCCTCCTCACATTTATGAGGACGGGAAACACTTCTTTCCCGGGATGTTGTATATTGCTCCCTCTGTCTGCGAGGATCCATCACACCATGGTCGTCCCTGGTCAATAGCTGTCAGACCTAAATGACTCATCTTCAGAGAACTTTCTGAGCATTCAGTCTAATTTATGCATGTCCCTTGTTATTTTTTCTTGTAATATATATATATATATATAAATCCATTCATTTATTTTTATTACAGTTGTTTCTCCTTTTCCCCCCATTGACACCTTCCCCCCGTTTGCATTCCCCCCCCCCCTTCACAGTATTGTTGTCTATGTCCATTGGTTATTCATGGATGCATATGCGTTCTTTGGTTTATCTCTTCCTGCCCTATTATCTTGCAATACTTTCTTGCAATGCTTTTTTCTTCATAACATTTCTCACATTTTTTATTCTGTACTTTGGGATTTGTCTAGGGAATACATATCTGTCTTTCCCACTAGACTGTGAGCTCCATGAGGGCAGGATCATGTTTGTTCATTAACCATTGTTTATGCAGCCATCTATAGTACCTGGTACATAAAGGCAATGCACAAATATTTATGGAATGAATGAATGAATGAATGAATGAATGAATGAAATATTACTCTGAAAAGTCACCTTCATGGGCAGTTCCTTGGACATTTTATAAAAAGAGGAGGAGCTATTCCTTGATTTATTCACCCCAACTGACCTCTGGTTCTTTACTCTTAGAGCTCAGTAATCAAGAGCTGCCTGTCCATTGGAAGTCATTTCATTCTCTATTAAAGAAATGTATACAGTGTTATCAAAGATGAAATGGCCTTTTCTACTCCAACAGCAAAGAAGCCAGTGAGCCTCAACAGTGTCCATGATGGTGTCGTCCACACTGTTCAGAGGTCACCTTTTTACAAGGACATTATCCTCACCATTGGGGGATGGAACGTGGCCATCTGGAAGGAAGGTGTCATGGTAAGCTGCTTGTGTAACACAGAGGGATGGGTGTGTGGTCCTTTGTTATTGAGAAAGACAATAGGAACAATGACTGTTCTGACATAACAGTGCCTGTGGGACACTTTTTAGAGAAATTGAAACAGATGGCCTGGCTCCAGCTTGTAGGCAGAACTGCTAAAAGCCCTTTGAAGCCCACCCACTTGCTTTTTTTCCTGAGGGAAGGAAATATTTACAAGACACATGTTCTCTGAAAGCTAACAGTCTTTATATATATATATATATAAATAAAGACTTGATTTGCATTTTTCCTCCCCTTAAAATACAAGAAGGGATGTTAATTACTATATGAAGTCCAAGGAGAAATACTAGGTCTGTAATATTTGCTTCTGCACAAGCAATATGTCAGCAGGTTCAGAAAGTGGGAGTAAAAAAGTTAAAGGGTGTGTCACCAAGTAGACCGGAGGTGTGCGTGGGTCAAAGTGAGATGGTGACAAGAAGATCTGGTGGTCGGGATTAGGAGAGGGCCTGGATCCAGACCAATAGAAGCTAAACTGCCAAACACTAGAAAGATTGAGAAACACCAGTGAAATAAGGGTGTGGAGATATCACTATGATATGTCCCTTTGGTGAGCAATTTAAGATGATTAAAATCTGAATTATATCTATTTCATGGCTATAACATATATATTATTTGAATAAATAATATGTGTAATATATATATATATAATTTATAAATATTATTTTCTTTGACCCTAACACTTTCACTTCTGGGGCTATAGCACAAATCTCCAAAAAAGAAAATTACATGACTATATGTACAAGTTTTTTATTGTTAAGATTAGAAACTATTTAAGTGCTTATCCACAAAAGGACTTCTACTTTATACCAATGTACTCTGTATGTTCTTTTTTTTTTTTTTTTTTTTACAATGAGCAAGGGTTAGTTTTGTAATTGAAGAAAAAGAAAAAGGAAATTTAGACAAGATTTTCCAAAGACTGTGCAGGGGCAGGAACCTGGTTATCCAGAGAAACTGAAGGATCTGGGCAAAGTGGTCAAAAACACGTTTGGCGTGGCACCTCTAGAGTCCATGAGTCTGAGACATTCATGGATCGGAGGGTATGAGACAGTCCCACTGTTTTGTTTAGTTCTCGCAGATGTAAATAGATAAATGAGTATATCTGGTTGCCGGGTGGAGCATGACAGTGGGAAGAAAGCACATTCTGATCGTCTATCTCTATGACAACCTCCCAAAGAAGGCACCTTGCCCCATGGGAGAGGAAAGGCTAGACAATCTGATGATGCTCTGCTGGTCTAACATCTCTTCCCAATAATATGTATGTCATTGGATGCCGCTCACAAATTTGATTTTTTATTTGCTTTTCTTGGCTCCCAGAGCTGTTTCCATGGGGAAGGGACACCAACAGCAAAGTAAAGGTACAAGCAAAATTTCATAATCTTTGCATTTGGATTATTAGAACCATCAATGGCTTGATTGGAAGGTTTGATTTTTTTTCTAAAAAGAAACTAAAATAATAAGAAAAAGATGTTATAAAACTATACAGGAAAGAAAAGAATAGGCATTATATAAAAACCCTACAAGTAAAAGAATAAGACTTCTGAGTAGGCATAATTTTGCTGTTCTGTGATCATAGCCATCTGAGTTGTATTTAAAATCATTATGGCCTTGGCCAGTTTGCCTCAGAGGTTAGAGCATCAGCCCATAGACCAAAGGGTTGTGGGTTTGATTCCCGGTCAAGGGTATGTACCTGGGTTACAGGTTCAATTCCTGGCCCTGTGGGAGGCAACCAATTGATGTCTCTCTCTCACATCAATGTTTCTCTCCCTCCCTCCCTCCCTTCCTTCCATTCTATCTGTAAATCAATGGAAAAATATCTTTGGGTGAGGATTAACAAAAATTTAAAAAATAGAATTGTTAAAAAAATAAAATAAAATAAAATCATTGTGAATACCCCTTGAGTAATAATACAAGTTTCTAATTTATCTTGTTTAAAATTTGCTTAAAGACTGGACCCCTCCTTCAGTCATCCTGTGCTCCGAAAAGGTTCACCTCGGGGCACTGGTCTCTGACAAGGCCCGGCGTCTTCTACATTGGCCGAGAGGACGGCTGTGTCGACATCTGGGACCTTCTAGAGAAAACCCATGAACCAGCCCAGTCACAAAACATCTGCATAACTATGATCACCTGCATCAGACCCTGGAACTTTTCTGGTATGTTCATTCTGAGCAAACATGCTAAGTCACTTTGCCTTTTTTTTCATAACTCAGGAAAATGCTGGCGTTCATCTAGGAACGCCCGTGTCGTTTCTTGGGTTCTTGTTGTTTCTTTCCCTCTCCCTTCCTTCTCTCCTCTGCTACCTGCCCCTTCTGCCCCTTCTCTTTTGCACTATCTTGGATACACCCTGAGCTTCTCTCACTAATTTCTTCACCAACAGTTATTTCTGAGGCACATTCAGAATGCCAAGCAGAGGGTGATTATGAACTAAACCACCAAAAGCATCCTTCTCATCTTCTAATAATGTATTTCATTTGTCCTAATTTCTCTGTTTCGACCAAGTACTACTTTCTATGTAAATCCAATATATTTGCCTCTTTTAAAAGAAGTTTTCCTCTGTTTCCAAAGATGTGCAGGCATATGATTGTCTCTCTATACATTCTCTCTCACAAACATGACCTTGAGAAATTCAGCCTTCAGAATCTCTAGTGTCACAGGTTTGCTACTGCTTAGCTATATGTCACTAAAGTATGTTTTCCTACTCTTGCTACAAAACAATGCTTTTATATACCTACTGGGACTACAAGTCTAGGATTTAGCATTTTGAACCAGATTTTCTGAAAGTGAGAAGAAGAAGGAAAAAAACAAACACAGGATGAGACAGAAAATTAAATCTCCAACATATTTGCACTTCATATCTATTTTTTTTTTTTGTACGTGTCCCTAGTGGGAACTGAACCCGGGACTCTCTGGTCCGCAGGCTGACGCTCCAACCGCTGAGCAAACCAGCCAGGGCTTCACATCTATTTTAAATGCTCAAAGGGAACCATGTGGTGCTAGTCTCGCTCCTGGTTCTGGCTGTGGGTAAAATTCATCTATATAGCGGTATCCTCTAGCCCTTACTGTGTCTTTGGTGAATATTGGCTTCACAATTTTTCTCTGGAAATCTTTTCATGTGTTTTCCCTGCTTTCTAACCCAGTCTGCCCAGCGGGCCCCACCATAGAGACAGCCAACCTCAGTGAGGGGCCACACTCTACACAGACACCAAGGAAAGAAGATTGGAGGTGGGCAGGGTGGCTGACGAAGGCTCAGGGTCTCAGCTTTCATTTCATCAACTGGAAAAGATGACTGACATGTTACTACGGTCCTCAGGCACGAATGTCTGATGAAGATGCCAAGATCATTGTAACCCTTGCAGGTCCTTTGGGAGACCACAAAACAAACCCCGTTTCATGTTTAACCTCTAAGACGGCGTTCTGGCTGCTGAGTTGTTTTCTCATTTTTCTAATCTTTCAGCTAAGCAGCAATTCATAGCCATAGCTGATTATTACGGAACACTGCATATATTAGAGATTCCTTGGACATTAAGTCACCCTTCCTCCAATGAGGTCAGTAACTTTTGGCTTTGAGGATTTATGTGACTGAATATTCCTGTGGCGTGTTTTTAAACTGTGTTCAGAAATGACAGCATTTTTACTTTATAAGAGAACAAACGAATCATAGAGTCAAAAATAAGGGGTATATTTGTTTTATGAGTTATATAGTTTGAAGCTGGGGGAGGGGATAAAAAACATGCAATGAGAGGGAGGCCAAGTAAATAAAACCCCAATTCAGAGAATTACTTTGGGGATTCATAATCATAGATGTTATTTTGGAATTATAATGAAGCATGGAAGCCTTATTTCAGTGATACCCTTCCCAGAGGGTACATTTGACATTTCTGTGCATCTTTCCATTGCCCACCACCTCATCCTCCCCCAGTGGGTACTGCCAGCAACATGTCCAGAGTGGTAATACTCTGCCCCACCAAACCCACCACTCAGGAGTTGCAGGCAATATTAAAAAGGAGGTTATAAAAAGATCCGTAAATAGAAATACAAAAGTACACATACACCCAGCATTAAATATATAGCTTGCAATCTGTTGCCAGTCCCAACAACATCAGCATAGTTACTATCAGGCAAAGAGATTTCCCTCCCCTTGTCGCTTTGCCCCAGGTCTCTGCCTGCTCTCCTGTTTCCATTCCTGTGCCCTGCTCCAAGTCCTCCAGGAGACCAGGACTCACTCTGCTCCCAGCCCCTCGAGGGTCTACATTGATACCCTCGTCTGGGTTTTCCAAGTTCTGTTGATGATACGAAACTCCCTTCAGTGTTAGAAGTAAGAAGGAAGGAAAGGGGGAAAAAGCAATCCCTGAATTTTCCTTCTACAAAATTGTAAAAAAGTTTTGTAGCTCTCTCCTTCCAACATCACTCCCTTCCTGAAATGCTGAAATCCGCGGGGTCCTAAAACTTAGCACAGTGGCCCCCAAGTTGAGCTAGCTTCTCTGGTTATGGGCCTATGGGCAGTATCCAAAAGTAGGTAATATATCTGGTGAATTACAAGTAGCAGGGATTCTTCCAGAGCCTTGTAAAGAACGCGGGGGCGTCCATGTGGGCTCCTCTCTTGTGGGCCTGTGTTTCTAACAGGTATCAAGTATAAGCTACTACTTTGAAAGAGAAGTCAAACACCTGGAATACGTGGAACAGCGCAAGAAAATCCGTGAGCAAGAAAAGAAAGAAATGGAGCAGGAGACGGAGAAGAAAAAAGTTGTAAGTTCAATTTCAGAAATGAAAGTTGATTTCCTCTAAGCCCAGTGGGAATATGTGTGTTTGGCTTATTCCACAGCTAAAATAGGAAAATTATGCCTTTTCACATTCTTCTCTCATTCTCATGAGAGTCAAGAGGGCATTTTTCTGATTTCCTAGCTGACCATGAGTAAGCAACTATCAGTGGACTCCGAGTAAGATTCTACCACATTGGGGTTTTTGAAATTTTCTATAACAGCAAAATCTTTTATATACAATGGTATCTAAATACCATTTACACACACAGTGATTCAAAATCTGAAGGCTTTCATTTTATAGAATTTTTTTTTTAGGACACCAAGTTTTCTTTAATTATTTTTTGGGGGGAAGGAACATCATACTTCTGCCCAGTTAAGAGAAACGTTTTTTATCAGTACAGAGGTCTTCTTTTTACACTTATCATGCCATGAATTCATAGGGGATGGGTTCCAGCAGCTCCGCTCCTTTCCATTGGTTCTCACAAAATGTGCTTCTCTGGGTGGAGCAGGCTGACGCTTCAGCTGAACCCAGGTCCCTTTCTCTTTGGCTTCCTTCTTTTTCTGATCATTTTCCTTCACACGTTTCAGGAAGCTATCTCGGCTCTTAGAGTGGTCAATATGCTCAATATGCACATTAATTCTCTTGGCAAGAATCTTGCCCTTGACTTGTTTGTTCACAACAATGCCCACTGCATGCTGGGTGACATTGTAGACTCTTCCAGTTTTGCCATGGGAACATTTGTGGGGCATTCCTTTTCGAACAGTGCCCATTCCCTTTATGTCCACAATATCACCTTTCTTATAGATTCGCATGTATGTAGCCAAAGGAACAACTCCATGTTTTCTAAAAGGCCGAGAGAACATATAGTGGGTGCCTCTCCTCTCTCCCTTTGTGTTCGTCATTTTGGCGAATTACTGGAAGATGGAGGTTCCGGCTGAAAAGAAGAAGCAATTTTATAGAATTTTAACATCTGGTAAATAATGCATTAAAACAGGTAGTGCAGCCCTGGCCGGTTTGGCTCAGCGGTTAGAGCGTCGGCCTGCGGTCCGGAGAGACCCGGGTTCGTTCCCGCTAAGGGCATGTACCTCGGTTGCAGTTTGTCCCTGGCCCTGGTTGGTCGTGCGGGTGGCGGCCACTCGATGTGTCCCTTTCACGTCGATGTTTCTCTCTCTCTCTCTCTCCCTCCCACTCTATCTGTGCAAAAAAATGGGAAAAAAAAATGTCCTCGGGTGAGGATAACAAAAAACAAAAAACAGGTAGTGCAAAAAGAGTGAAATATGGTCCGGCCCTTGTGGCTCAGTGGATTGAGTGTCATCCCATAGACTGAGAGGTCCTGGTTTGATTCCCCATCAGGGCACATGCTCGGGTTTCGGGCTCCATCCCAGTAGGGGGCGTGCAGAAGGCAGCTGGTCAATGTCTCTCTTTCACATCGATGTTTCTCTCTCTCTCCTTTCCCCTCTCTCTAAAAAATCTATATAAACATATTTTTTAAAATTGTTTTAAAGAGTAGAATATGGAATCAAGACACATAAGCTCAAATCCTAACTCTGCCACTTACCAACGAGGAGGTGGAACGAGGCTCCTGTCTTTGCCCAGCCTCAGTGCTCTCGCCTCTGAAAGGGGAGCACCAATAACTACGGGTTAAGATGACTATAAGGCGTTCAGATACGTAACCTGACAAATAGCACACTTTCACTAAATGGGAACTAGTCCATAAACAGACGGACGGATGGATAGATGTGAATTTTACTATAAAACACGGATGAGGTGAAATTTAAGATAGAGGAGAACTCGTTTCATTTCAGTACCCACTCATCTTAAATTCGGCCACAGAGGAACTTGAAGCTCTGAATACGACACTCCCCACCCTCGTCTTTTTCAGCATCTCTATTTCATAAGAATTCTGTCACTCTGTTGGTCTTCCCTGGCCCATGGGGATGAGGGGCCTGTAACTGTTCTGCAAACTCAGCCTTTCTCCTTGTCACTTGAGGTCATCTCAGTCCTTATTTCTACTTCTTTCTCGCTCGCTCTCTTCCTCGTCCTTTTGTCACCAGCATTGCCATCCTGACCCCACCTGCAGTTTCCTTCCAGCCAAATATGTAGCATCTCCAACATGATTTCTCATGTCAGATCCTGGGTCTCAAAAGCTTGAGCAGATGGAAATAGTTGAATGTACTGCAATAGCAAGTAGATCAACATGGTGATTTCCAACCCTTTCATCTCGCGGCACACATGAACTAATTACAAAAATTCTGTGGCACACCAAAAAAAAATCTATTTTTTGCCCATCTGACCAAAAAAAAAAAAAAAGGTATGATTTCGATTCATTCACACCAAACAGCTATTGTTGTGTTGGCTTGTTGTCATTTTTTTAATTTGACAGTCTAAGGGGAAAAAGATCAGTGCTCCTGACTAAATAGGCAGGCATTGCATGTTTTATTTATTTATTTATTTATTTTCTTTATCGATTTTAGAGAGAGAGGAAGAGAGAAGGAGAGAGAGATAGAAACATCAATGAGAGAGAACATTGATTGGCCACTCCTGCATGCTCCCCCACTAGGGATTTGGACCCACGACCTGGACCTGTGCCCCAACTAGGAATCGAACTGGCGACCTCTTGGTGCATGGGTCAATGCTCAACCAGTGAGCCACACAGGCCGGGCAGCACTGCAAGTTTTAAAAATTCCTGTGGAACACTGATTGAGAATTACTGGATTAACATGATCACTTACTGATAGATATTAATTCATGTAATAAAAGCAGAGGGCCTCATTTCACAAACCACTTAGTGGTGACAAGGAATAAAAGAATACCAATGAACTAACTTCTCATTATTTTCCTCAGCTTAAAAAAAAATGGCCGTGGTTTGTTTTTTCTACGCACTCACACATATTGGTTGGAATCTTGTTGTGGGAGCTCACCTGCCACCCTTCCCCTACGCCAGCCATTGTCTCCGACCGTGTGAGTGTTTAAATACAAGAGCGATAGTTCCTGATTATCCACATCAGTGGAAGCAAGTAGAACTGTGGACAATACAAAAATTTGCCCTTGAAATACTTCTTAAACACCTATTATAATAATCATAGTATTATGCACTGAAATTTCCAAAACATTTCCAACTCCTTCTTGTGACTTCATATCCATTTGACATCGTGCCCTCTTTTAAGTAGAGCTACTGCTTCTCAGAATTTTCTCTGGAACTAGACTGTGGCTAAGTGAATGAATGTTAAAGGGCTCCTCTGTTACGTTTAGAACGTGAAAAGGTCACCAAGGGTAAACAACTAACCTTAATCAGAAATATCTTTTCATAAGCAACTGCTGATAAAAGGCAAAAAGCAACCTCAGAGGACTGCAGTGAGGATTAAATGAGTTTAAATGTTTACAGCACTTGGCTGGTAACTGGCATATGGACAGTGCTAGTGAATGTTTTTGTGTTTGTGTTTTTTTAATCCTCACCCGAGGACATTTTTCCATTTTTTGTTCAGAGAGCGGGAGGGAGAGAGGAGAGAGAGAAAGAAACATCGACGTGAAAGGGACACATCGAGTGGCTGCCACCCACACGACCCAACCAGGGCCGGGGACAAACTGCAACCGAGGTACATGCCCTTAGTGGGAACTGAACCCAGGTCTCTCTGGACCGCAGGCCAACGCTCTAACCGCTGAGCCAAACCAGCCAGGGCGCTAGTGAATGTTTGACATTAGTATGATTGCAGAGGGTGGAAGAACATCACATCTGTCCAGCGAGGCTGGTCTTTATGAGCGCCCCTCCAGGTGCACTTCAACCCATGGATCCGAGGGAAATCATACACACTTCTCCTTATAAACATTGAATCTAGATACAGCTGGTTTCTTGAAAAACAATAGTGATGATAGCTCAAACAGCATATGAAATAGCAATTCTCCTCACTGGAACTGCAGCTGCAGACCCAGAGCTGGATCCGTAAGCTACGCCATCTCTGTGAGGCTTAGAGAGAATTCTGCAACCTGTAGTCAAGTACCCACGTTCCAGACTACAGAAAAGAAGCAAGAGTTATGGGAAGAGGGCTGAAAGAGGGCATGGTTTTTGGAGAGAGGTGTCAGAGGGCTGTGGAGTCCCCACTTCCCACCTGGGCAACACCGGACTCCCTTAGAGATTTTGCTGGCCAGGACACACGATGGCCTCTGACACCTGGCACGAGGCCTGCCGAGCCACAGAAATCCAAAGGCCAGGAATGACCAAGTGACCAGAGCAGGATATCCGGGGAGAGTCTGGGGAACCCAGAGCCCAGGGCCTGGACTGTTGAGGCTGGAAAGTCCACAGGCAACAGATTGATTCAAACTGCTCTGTCAGAGGCTGGAGGGAGGGCCCGTGGGCAATGAACTTCCACTGGTGGTGGAGCGAGGGTGCTGAGTTTCCCCGAGGCTGGGTGGACCCTTGGAAAGTACCTGGGCCCAGAAGTGCCAAAAGGACATTCTTACCAGGACAAGGCAACCTCCGCAGAAAGAGACTGAAGGGGCCGTGTCCACTTTGATATTGGACTGGCCTGGATCTTCAAATACCTGAAAATGACACTGTTCCTAATACCTAAGAGCGATGGGAAATGCTGCAGGGTCTGTCACACGTTGCAGAGGACCGGGGTTAGAAGAACAACATTTTTCCACTCTCACCCTATCAAGTCCTGCTCTTTTGTGAACTGGTTACTGGAGTTAACATGTTCTAGTGCTTCCTGGGTGTCAGGCACTATTCTGAGGACATGTTTAATAATCCATTGATCCACATAGTGCTATGAAGTAGCTACAACAATGATTAGACACAAGAAATCTGAGAAAGCAGCTATATTAAGAAAAGAGAAAAAAGGCAAATATATGGCATGTCGGCCATGTAGCAAATAATCTAGCAAAGGGAAGGGAGCATCAATCATGTAAATAATTAAAAGAGGAAAATATCTCTTAAAAATGATTCTCTGAAGATATCAGAATGAAAGCTCAGAGTATTGGTCCCTTGATGGGACCTCAGAGACAGGGCTTTGTGACACAGGAGCAGAAAGCAGAGGACAAGAGGCCGAGCCCATGACCAGAGACACAGAGGCAGCACAAGGGTGAGATGCTGAGATGCAATGTCCGTAAGTTTATCTGAAAAAAGACACAATGAGAAAACAGTTCTTTTTTTTTATCCTCACCTGAGGACATTTTTTTTTTTTTTTTTGCATTTTTCTTGAGATAGAACTGGAGGGAGAGAGGGAGGAAGAGAGAGAGAGAAACATCGATGTGAGAGAGACACATCAAGTGGTCGCCACCCACACGACCCCAACCAGGGCCGGGAACAAACCTGCAACCGAGGTACGTGCCCCTAGCGGGAACCGAGCCCGGGGCTCTCTGGTCCCTGGCCAACTCTCCATCCGCTGAGCCAAACCAGCCTGAGTGAGAAAACAGTTCTTAAAAACCGCCCTGGCCGGTTTGGCTCAGCTGTTAGAGCATCGGGCCTGCGGTCCAGAAAGATCCGGGTTCGGTTCCCACTAAGGGCGCGTACCTCGGTTGCAGTTTGTCCGCGGCCCTGGTTGGTCATGTGGGTGGCAACCACTCAATGTGTCCCTTTCACGTCGATGTTTCTCTCTCTCTTTTCCTCTCTCTCCCTCCCACTCTATCTGAACAAAGATGGAAAAACTGTCGTAGGGTGAGGATAAAAAAAACCAAAAAACATGCCGGCCCGAGCCAACATGACACTAAATTAAAAGACCACAATAGCTAAACCAGAGCACCACTAATACAAACATGGACAGATCAAAGACCCAAACAGCTGTTCAGCAAGTGCATTGGGAACATTAGCTCCTTGTCATTACCTTGTTGTTACCTCCTCTTCTGTCCTCCTCCCTCAGTCCTGGCAGGAGCTGGCAGGCCAGCCTGCGTCCCCCGCTGCCCCGGAGCCCACAAACAAGCCAGCGGCAGCCCGGGTCTGCCCCTCCCCCAGGAGACACCTTGAATCTGCACACACTCCCCCCCAGAGCCAGCAGCTCCTCGGTGGCTGTGCCACAGACTCCGCCCCTCCCGCAAACCCTCCGGAGGGAGCCAGGCCCACTCTTCTAAAGCAGCCCCTTCTCTTCCTCGGTGTTTCTAGTTGTCAGTGTTTATAGGGAAGACTTGCTTTCTCCCGCCTAGAGAAAGTATCAGAAGGGAAAAGAACAACTGGATGCCGAGCTGAAGATGGACTACGAGAGTTACCTGGACCTGGAAAAGACTGTCCTCATCAACCTGGGCATGATCAGAGTGTCGGACACGCGGTCGTTCATGGAGGTAGTGTAGACCTACCTGCAGGTGACTGGGGCTCGGTGGGACTGTCTTTTCTTCCCACTCATTGTTTTCATGTAAGGTGAACTATCAAACTAAACACTAAATAGGTTTTTAAATAAATAGGCATTTATTTCATTGCTATTAAAACTTTTGAATTAAACGATTAGTAAGATGTTTTGATTTTTAGATTGAATATGAATTGAACTTTGTGCCAAACATGAAAGTTATGAATAATGGAACTTTCATTTTCCTGTAGAAATACACAGCCTCAGCCCTGGCCTGTTTGGCTCAGAGGTTGGAGCGTTGGCCCGAGGACCGAAGAGTCATGGGTTCAATTCCAGTCAAGGGCATGTACCTCAGTTGTGGTTCAGTCCCCAGCCCTGGTTGGGATCGTGCGGGAGGCAACCAATCGATGTGTCCCTCTCACATTGATGTTTCTCTCTCTCTCTCACACACACACACACTCTGTCTGAAGATAAATGGAAAAATGCCTTCTGGTGAGGATTGAAAAAAAAAAAAAAGAAATACACAGCTTCAAACTTCTCTCCTACCCCCAGTCCTCGATATCCATTCAGGGCCCCAATCCCAGACAGAAGTGAAAATTAAACTTGGCTCCTAATTATCAGGTTGCTTTTGGTCACCTCTCCTAAGAGTGCTCCCTTTGGGCCACTGTACAGATTGTAGGGCCATGTGCTAAACAAAATATTAGCACGTCAAATCCAGAAATATATGTACAAACAAAGGATAACATGGGAAGATCATGCCGGGTTTATCCAGGGAATACAAAGTTAATTTAACAGTAGAAAATAAATCAGTGATTGATGAAAGGAGAGAAATCATGATGCCAAATAGATGCAGGGAAACATTTGATAACATTTGATAGCCAACCCTGATAAAACAATAGCAAATTTTTAGCAACTACAAAAAGGAGGAGACTTCCTTAATCTGATGCAGGGAGTGTAAAACAGTCCTACAACAAACATCGACTTCATGGTGAAAAGTTGAAAGCTTGACTCCGTTGTGTGGAACAAGACACGGTGCCCACCATCATGTCTTCCGGTCAATATTCTACTGGGCATTAAGCAGTGTGGACGCGAAAAAGAAACCTCGTGTGAAACTCAGTTGTGAAAGAGCTTGGTGTATCTCAACAAGAGATTCAGTGTCAGAGGAGTGACTGACAGGGAAGTGGGGCTGGAGGGAGACGAGGCTGGAAGCGTAGCTTGGAGCCTGGTTGTGAGACTCCTACAAACCAAACTAAAGAAGCTGGATTATAGTTTGCAGATAATGAGGGATTAATAGAAGGGCTAAGGAGGAAGGTGGCACAACCCACTTTATATTCAGGAAGATAAGGAATGGATTAGAATAGGGACAGTCTCATGGCAGGAAATCCTATTAGGAGACAGTAGGAATAGTTGAAGGCAAAAGATTAGGATGGCCAGTACTGAAGCTTAACGTGAAAACAGAAATGAAAGGCCAGTTGAATAGGGAAAGGAGATGCCAAGATTTATAAGTTAAGGTGCTAGAGGAAATGAATTCAAAGTTTTATTTACTACAAAGGTCAGACAGATAGCAACACTTAACCCTCTGTGCTCCTTTGGACAGATGTGTTTCCACTGTGCAACAAGTTCACTTCTATCAAGTCAGGCTGAGAGCGTTCACCTTGCACCGTGTTTATAAGGGGTGAATGAAGACCTGCACATAAGATGTCCATGCCCAGAACACGTTGGCATCATCATTGTGGGAAGGTCCTAGGACTCCTCATTACACTTGACATATTTCTTCTTCTTCTCTTCTCCTCCTCCTCTCCTCCTCTTCTTTCTCCTTCCCTCTCCTCCTCCTCTTCTTCTCCTCCTCTTCCTCCCTCCTCCTCCTCCTCCTCCTCCTCCTCCTCCTCCTCCTCCTTCTTCTTCTTCTTCTTCTTCTTCTTCTTCTTTCTCTTCTTTCTCTTCTTTCTCTTCTTCATTTTAGCCCACATACATGTTTTGGGTGAACCCATCCAGTCTCATAGTTTTAAATACTACCTATACCCCTGGCCTGGATCTCTCCCATAAAATCAAGCGCTATATATCTATTTGACTAATGTCTCCACTGGGATGTACAATAAGCATCTCAAATTTGAACTTGATCTAAAGTGAGTGCCTGGTTTTCCCTCCAAAACCCAGTTTTCCTGCAGTCCTCCCAATCACCTTGCTTCTAGTTCCCTGGGCAGAAACCTTGAAGTTATGTTTCATTCCTCTCTTTCACAATCCACACCCACTCCGCCAGCAAATCTTACTGACTACACCTTCAAAATATATACAGAACCTGATCCCTTCTCTCCTTTCTCACCATGGATCACGCCACCATCGTCACTGGCTTGGGTTGTTGCGGTAGCCCCTACCCTTTTCCCTGCGTCCGTGACCCACTCCAGTCTCTCTCAACAGCAGCCAGATGATAATTTCAGATGAATGTCAGAGGCTGCCGTTCTCCTCCTCGGCTTCCCAGCACACTCAGAGGGTGAGCCCAAGGCTTTACTCTGACCTACAAGCCCTCGTGTGATCAGATGCCCCCGTCACCCTGGTTCCATCTCTCATTCTCCTCCCCTCTGTCACACCACCCGTCACGCTGCCCTCCCCTATTCCCACATAGGACAGGTGTGCGTTTGCCCAGGATGGCACTTGCTGGTCTGCATTTTCTCCAGTCACTTTCCATACTTTGTTTTCATGTGTTAGACAAGAAAAGATATTCTGAGTGCCTATGGTGTGCCAGGGTTTACAGTTTTAAATGGGATGTTCAGGGGAGGTCTTACCAGGAAGGTGACATTTCAGCAAAGACCTGGGAGGGTGAGGTTTTTGCCCGGCAGTCTTCCAGGAGAAGTGCGTTCCATAACCCAGTGCCCCATTCCCACCCTAGCCGACTACCGCTCAGGTCTGCTGGACAGCACTGAGCTATGTGGACACCCCTCAGTCAAGGGCAGCTGGGACTACAGAGAGCAGGGCTGTCATGATTGTGTGACATAAGCCATTACCTGGGGCTGGCACATTTTTGTCTCAAACAAAAGCAAGGTTTTATTAGCACAGAAGAAGGGGGTAAAGAGTGAATGTCTGCCTTTGGGCTATCAGGTGAAAAGTTTAGTATAGCATCTGGCATATAGCAAGCAGTAAATCTGTTTGCTATCATTTTACCTAATTTATAAATACAACATGATTATAATATTCTTGCTATAGAAACTAAAACATGGAGTTCATCTAACTTATGAGAGTAGTTACTATTGATTCAGTGTGATATTTGCAGTGTGTGTGGATAACCTCAGTTTTTCCAGGTCTCATCAGCTCACCAGCCTATGGTCACCAATGGGATCGCATACAACAGCCGTAGCCCAAGTTTTATGAGATCCTGCCTCACCTGCTTATTGAGTGTCTGATCCTTCTGCAAAGGGTCTCCAGGAGTGTCCTGTAGTCCCTGGGATGAAGGTGGAGTCAAATATGTTTAAAAACAAGCCTGAAACCACTAGGTACCCAAGGTCCCCCTCTCTCAATATGCCTGATGGCCTGTCACAAGGGGGGAGGCTGTGGGACACTGCCCCTGTGCTAGTTTGTGTCCTGCGAGAAGGTTTACAGGTGGAAGAGGTGGGGGGGGGTATCAGGGGAACTTTGAGACCTGTATGCAGGTCTGGTGCCTGAGGAAGGAGAGAGGGAAGGAGGCGAGGGTAGAATGTCTTGGACTACTCAGCACATTCACTTCCCTTTGACTCTGAGGCACTGAACTCCAGCAAACTCCCTGTGCTGTCTCCTACTTCCCTGGGATGAGGCCCTTCCAAGGCTCCTCAACTCCTTAAGCAAATGTTTTTTTCTCTCACCCAGACTTTCCATTTGGCAGACAGGCCAGACCTGCGGAATCCCAGAAAAGAACACAGTCAAACCTCAAGCTAGGAAGCTAACTGCCTGTAATTGAAGATGTAAGAATATTGGGCATGAATAAAAACGAAATTAACTGGTGTGCCTCCTTTCATTCCCCTTAACTCCAACCTTTTCCCCTTTCCAAGTGCACCGTGGGATCAACCCAGTGTTCTTTTTCTGCCTTTAAGTCTTTTGGTCTGGCGTACAATGTACTGAAAAGAAAGGGAGCTTGGGATCCTAGCAGACCGAGTTCAGATGCCAACTTCATCACCCCCAGGCAAGCTGCACTGTCCCCTGAGTCTAGGTTATATCATCTGTAAAGTGGGGATAATAATTATACCTACTTAATACAAAGACAATGTATATGAAATGCCTAGCATATAGATGGTGCTTAATAAATGTAGTGCTTCCTATTTTGCTTGACCTCAGGTACACACACACACACACACACACACACACACACACAGAAACCATAGTGTTTCCTCTCTGTCCTATGCAATAATGTTTTATTTTAACATTGTTATTATTAATAATAATGGGCCCTGGCCGGTTTGGCTCAGCGGTTGGAGCATCGGCCTGCGGTTCCGAGAGACCAGGGTTCGGTTCCCGCTAAGGGCATGTACCTCGGTTGCAGTTTGTCCCCGGCCCTGGTTGGGTTGTGTGGGTGGCGGCCACTCGATGTGTCCCTTTCACATCGATGTTTCTCTCTCTCTCTCCCTCCCACTCTATCTGAACAAAATATTTAAAAAAAAAGAAGTGTCCTCGGGTGAGGATAAAAAATAAATAAAAATAAAAATAAAAAATAATGGGAATGTCTCTCCCTCTCAAATAGGACTTACGCAGGGACTCTGCATAGTTTAATATTAGCCTTTGATCATTTTAATAATTGGACTTAGTATTTAAAATCTAAACAGCAGCTTTCTTTTCTGCACAACTAAAATGCTTATGGCTACTTGGAAAATTAATTACTCTAATCATGCTTGATTTACTTAGATGGTTTAATCAACATTCAACGTTATAAATTGCTTTTTACCCACCAAGGAATGTTATAGAATTAAATGTATTTTCAGGTGCTCAGATAAACATGCCACCCGTGTGCACTTCTGTTGAAAAGGCAATGGGTCCAGTAGACGG